GGAAACAACACACACTGGTTCACATAACACCCACAAACCCCCTTTCTCAAGTCTTGACACCAAAGCCCACGAGCACACACACACACACACACACACACACACACACACACACACACACACACACACACACACACACACACACACACACACACACACACACACACACACACACTCACTCAGCCTGAGCTTATTAAGCCAATTGTAGAAGTCTAAACATGCAGTGAGCTGAGCAGTGAGGAAGGTAACCCCCGAGGGCCGCAGAGAAACTGAAACAGAGTCAAAAAGGATGAAGACATGTGGAGGAACGATGGAAATGAGGAGTAAGATGCAGGAGCAGAGAAAAGGATGTGTGGGAGAAAATGTGGATGTTGTTTCAGAAAACATTAAGATACATGAAAAAGCTACACACACACACACACACACACACACCCTCAGAGTGGAGAGGGAATGTGGCTCTTTAGGAGTCAAGCAGGCGTATGATAGGATATCGTTGCATGTCGTTAACCTTATATTAACCCTGAGAAACAAGTGAGACGCTGACTGCACCACAACAAGGACCGACTGGGCCACACACACACTCCTGATCACACCCACACACACATCCACACGTGCAGTGACGGCTAAGCTGTCAGTCACACAAATACACACGCAGACTGACATCTTCACTGATACCAAGCAACAAGCTGCTTGGAAGATTTTTAATTTCACCTGTTAGTTCCCAAAAACAAACGCAGCGACCAGCAGAACGAATATTCACTCTGGTTTCTCATGATTTCATGCATTTTATGTTTAAGCAAGGCTTTGAAATTGATTCTAATTGGGAATAAAGTCAATAAAATTTAAGTATAAATAGTTGTATCAAGTCTTCTTGTATTTTTCATTGTACAAACTGTAACGTGTGAAACTTTTTAAAGTGTGAGAAAGGTTATGTTACGCTTCCCATAGTTCTTATATAACTTCTAGGTCACGTTTGATCTTACAGTTTCATGGTTAGCATTTTCAGTATGCTGATTGTCAATAAAAAGCACAAGGAGAAAAGCAAAAATCTAAAACCGAGTGAACCGCGGCATGGGCTACACTAGTTTGACGGAGCTAAACAAGGCTACAAAAACATGGACTGATGGTGACCTGGCTTTGTTGCTACATGACTTGTAAGTAATAATATGACACACTCAAATAAACATGACTCTGTGGCTGCTGTAGTTTTTATTTTTCCTCTCCGACACACAACAACGTGGTCAAGCTGCTCAGACATGTTCACCAGCACAAACCTATGTGAGCACCTGTTGTCATCTAATGTTGTCATTATTATGATGAAGATGAACAAAACAACAGGAGTCTCCTCCTCAGCTCAGATCAACCACATGATGCAGGTATCTGGCTGGAACAGGTGAGCATCACAGTAAACCAGTGGAGCAAACTGAGCTTTAAATATGTTGGTTTGATGCTCTTTTTCTGCTCCAAAACATGAAAGTTAACAGGTGAGATGTTGCATTTTCATTTAAGATAAAATGATATTTTTGTTTTGTTGTTGGCCCGTGAGAAAAGATTTAACCTACAGTAAACAGGAAGTGGAAAGGCTGCAGATAGATGAATAGAATAGAAAATCCCTTTATTGTTCCTCAGTGGGGAAAGCTAGACGTCACAGCAGCGATGACGCGTATTACAGGAGAAAAAAAGGAGAATAAAAAATAAGAAAAATTAATAAACAAGAAAACATAAATCCTGAATAGCTTTTAAAAATGCTGAATATACCACAAGTAATGAATACCACTGATGCCTTTTATTTAAAACTGACTTGCTCGTGTGTAATTTGGTTATTCCACATTCAGTGTTAATGCGAAAGAAAGTTTGTTTCCAAATTAAAAGGTTCAAAATTGCATATATGTTGATGAAGAAAATGTGCAAATTTGCCGTCACTTTTTCAAAAAATATGAAGTTTGGCCCGCGACTTTGTCCCAGATTTTCATTTTGGCCCCGTGTGAGTTTGAGTTTGACACCCCTGCTCTATGTCATAGTGAAACATGATAACAAACTGTTATTAGAATTAAACAAATGTCTGTTTTGATACATTTTATAGAATTTTGCTGTAAAATAGATATTATTGTAGCTCTGTTGTTAATCTCCAGCATCTGAGCAGCACTTCCGTGTTTAATTGTGTTGTCTCACCTTAATTTTCACATTTCCTTCTCATGCTCCTGTGAACGTTTTGACAGATTGGATTTCTTAGTTAGCTTAGGTGTTCTTAAGCAGTCTGTGTCATCATTAAACGTCCATCCAGGTCATAAAATGTGGTTACATTTTTCTTTTGATTAAACTATTCATATTACTTTTTAAAGTGACTTTAGCTTTCATTGCGTTTACAATCAGTGACACTTATAAAATTGTCTCTCAGTCCACATGTTTGGGTCAGACAGCAGAGGTCCAGATGTTGCATCAGGATGCTGTGAACTGCTGCAAAATGGGGGGTGGAGGGGTGGGGGGGGGGGGACAGGAAATATCCCACGGTATTCACAGTAACCTTGACATTCCTTCCTGACCAAGTTCCCTGACATCTCCCAGATTTCACTCTGTTTCTCTGCATCAGGCCTGTCAAATGACCCACACACACACACACACACCCGTATAAACACACATTCACAGCAATTCACAAACACTCACACAATAGCATTCCTATTGTTTTTGTGTGTTTCTGTCTAATATTTCAAATGTGTTTTCATCTTTTTACAATCGTCCAGACTCACGCGGACCTACACGTTTACCTAAACACCTTCTGGGCATTTAAATATAAAGGAACGTAAGCTGAGATGTCAGAGACAAACACAGAAAACAAGTATTTTTCAGTGTATACAAACACACACATATAGGAGAAAAAAACACACAAATCTGAGGTATGGAAAGAATGATATGAAGTGTATTTATGTAGATCACCTATGAAAGAAATCTCATGACCTGAAAAGAAAAAGTCAGGTGATTTAATTCAGTGTTATTTTATGAATGTAAAATATGTATTAAATTAAAAAACATTCATGTCTCCAAACCCATAAATGTGCCGATCTGACAAAAAAGATTAGAAAAAAATGAATAATGATTAGCTACGATCAGGCATTTTATTCGCTGATTTGATGCAACAAGTTTGAAGAAGCAGTTCCCAAACACTGGCGCCACCGGTCCGTCTGACTACCACCAGCAAGCAGCTTGGGTTAAGTGTCTTGCCCAAGGACACAACAGCAGGATTCTCTGGTGGGAGCCAAATCAAACCTACAACCTTCCCACTACTGGACAACCCGCTCTACCTCCTAAGCTACTGCTGTGCCTGTGGGAATAATAATAGAAGACCTTTTTAACATTCAGCCTGCATGTAAAACTCAGCGTGATAGATCGTATTTCAATAAAAACAAATAAAAAAAGGTTTTCCAGTCTTTAAATGTAAAGAGCAAATTCACATATTTACTTTTAACATACCATCATACAACAATGTATATTACTCTTTATATGCATGCTTTGTGGTTGGTTAATTAAATTCAACTTTCCATTTTTACAGTGTACTTGTCTGTTTTTCAAGAATTTAGTAGCTAATTACAAATACAAATGCATTTAAATGAATGTTTTCACATTAAGCAAGGTACAACGTACATGCATCTGATTAATGAAAGTCAAAAGCTAGAGAAATAGACCTGATTTATGTTTTTATTTGTTTATATGGAGAGGGCGGAGCTTCACCTTCAAACTTACAGCTGCCATATCTGGTGCCACTTTACAATAAGGCTCCCTTTATAAATGGTTAATAAATAGTTCATATATGTGTTATTAATCATCTGTAACATTGTAAAATTAATAAATGTTTATTATGCGTTTATTAGAGAAAGACACAAAACTGACTGTGAGCCAAATCTCCAGTGATGCTAGATGAAACATTTCAGACTGACTTGCTACCTTGTAGGCACAATGATCATTTGTAACCATATGTTTTAGGATTTAATGTCATTCATCACTTCATCCACAACTAATTAATTAACAAAAGGGGAGTCTTGTTGTAAAGTGGTGTCCTGCAAAAATTCAGCTTGTTATTTTCTGTATGAATAAAATTAAATTTTATTTTTATGTGAAACATGTTAGACAGGTGACACAACTCCTTTAATTATATCTGGAGATGCAGTTATGACAGCAACACAAACTTTGTTGAGATACAGAAGAAATCAGAGCACATTTAGGTAAAGTGTGAGTTATAATAGTTGCTGCATTAAAAAATAACGTCTTTGCTAATAACATGGGTCAGTCATACACACATACACACAGGTGTGTGTGTGTGTGTGTGTGTGTGTGTGTGTGTGTGTGTGTGTGTGTGTGTGTGTGTGTGTGTGTGTGTGTGTGTGGTGCTTATACGGAGGTTAAAACAACTACCAAAATAAATCAATCTGAAAGGTGGTTGGATGTTTTTTCAAGTTTCTCTCAGGCACCTTTTTCCTTTTGCTTGTGACCCAAATTTCTGTTCTGCTGCATGAGTGAAAGAAAGAATAAAGGTTTGGTGAGTGTGAAAGAATGGATAACTTCATTCCTTCTCTTTTATTAACAAACATGAGACTGAAGGAAATGGCCATTTCTGCTCATGAACATCGTGTGTTTTTGCATCATGTAGGGAAAATCTGAGAAAGTGTGTTTATGAGCCACATTTGAGGTTGCAGCAGAGCCGCTGCAAAGCTCAATATTGTTTCTACATTGCACTTCTACGTTCAAGAACCTTAAAATGCTGCTCCACATGTGAATACTGCTGAGTCCTGCTGTTTAAATGCTAAACTTGTGCCACAAATATTTTACTCTGTTTTACATCAGAAGCCTAAAAGACAAAAATCCCATCCCGTGCTGCCATTCAGACAGGTCAGAGCACTCTTCTAGCATGTGTGTGTGTGTGTGTGTGTGTGTGTGTGTGTGTGTGTGTGTGTGTGTGTGTGTGTGTGTGTGTGGAGAGGAAAAAGATAGGGGCAAGGGAAAGCCAGTACCTGTCGATGATAACAGGGTCTGAGGGTGTCTCATTACGGTTTCCACAGCTCTTCTTGTCACAGCACCGACTAAGAAAAGAGAGTTAAAGAAGAAGACAGTGCAAAGTGAGCGACATACAGAAAGTTCCCTGCCTCGTGTGAAAGTTCCTAACTAGACATTTGAATCGGAGCGCTGCTGCTCATAATGCACTTTGACAGAACAGATAGAGAGGTTATTAAAAAAATTCACATCGGATCAAAATTGTGGAAAACAGGCCAACAGGAGTTTTACTGAGTCTGTTGAGTGGATCAAGATAAAAATAGGCTTCTGTGACACAGAAAGTGAACGCACGGCAGCTCCTCAAAGAAATCCACTGGATGTTAGAGGAAGTGGCCATCTGGGGGAACACAATAGGCTCTGGGATGTGTACAAAAGTCTCATGGTGTAATGGGTTCATGCTCAGAACACTGGTAAATGAAACTATACGTGGCTTAGATGTGTGTTGAGAAAACGTCTGTTTTGAACTTCAACTTAGATTCTCCTGTCTGATGTAGATGTTTTAACCTCCTCCAACAATCCAGAGATATTCATTTCAGGGTAAAATGTGTTTTTTCTGTTGTGTAAGAGTGAGAAAAGTTTTTGTGTTAGTCAGGGCAACTTTTCCCTGTGGTCTTCATCAATATTTCTTGTCTTTTTGAAGAATTTTCAGTTTTTCTTTAGCTGAGTTTTGTACTTTTGTAATTCTGTTCGATGTTATTTTGACACCCACAAACACTCTGTTGCAGAGCAAACACATCTTATTGGGAATAAAGCAGTGTCTGACTGTGTAAAAAAATATTTTTATATTAAATGTTATCTCATAAAACTCACAAAACATGCATTTGCTACATGACATATGCAAACTATGTAAAACTCACAGCCATGTGGGTCTCTATTAGCCTCCTTAAAGACTTCTAACATGAAAAAAACCAATCCATCTGTTTTCTGTCAGTGTTTGGTTTTAGGAATGATGTGCCTAAAACAAGCAGTTTCAATGAATCCCTGTTTGTGATGTCACAAACAGGGAAATTAGAATTTAACCACCTATCACATGCAGCGGAGAGCTGTTGCTGGAGGAGCAGCGGCTCTACTCTGAGCCCCTCCCAGATATAGGAGCTTTTCAGCTTTAAGCAGCCTGCGGGGAGGGGTGGGCATGGCCAGCTCCACCCTGTTTTCTTAAGCCCTTTTTACGAGGTACACTGTGCCAGGAAATCAGCATAATATTACCATAACGTGTGTCTTATAAAAGCGCCATGCCGACATGTTTGTGGCATTTGTTCTGGCTCCCTTGGTAGTGATATTACGGTAATTGCTTTGGCGCAATGGAGGGAGGTATCATGATGACGTGGGAAGTTACTGCCGAGCTCCGGCCGGCAACTAAATAGAAAATGAAAGTAAACACGGGCCGTAAGTTTTGCTTTTCGACCAAAATCAGCTGAGACGGCAAACTGGAGCGCTGCAGAGCTCCAGGAGCCTTTCTCCGTTAGAGTTGGAGCTCAAATCTCCAGAAACTCCAGAAACTCTGGAGGACACTTTTAGGAGCGGCATGTTGAAAAAACTTTAAAAAGAAAAGAAAAAAGCTTTGATCACAATAAAAAGAAAGTTATGTCCAAGATAAACAAAAGTCCGCAGCAGCCCAGGGACCGCCACCATACCCCCTTTATGCCGCCATCGCCTAATCTTTTGTAAAAAGGACAAGATTGTGTCACATTGTCACAACGGTCTGACCACATGAACGACCTAAAAGCTCTCTGATGCCGCCACGGCGTTGCAGCAAATTGACGGCATTGTTTTGGAAAAAAGACTTTAAAGTGAAAGCGCCCTAAAACAGCTCATTCTGGAAGGTACTTAATAAAACCGGGATTTTGTGTGAAGAGCTTCATTTCACATTTTTAGTATCGACCAAAGAACTATTATAGCTTAAGAAAAAGTCATAATATGTCCCCTTTAATAAAACAATAAGTACCTAAATATAATTAAATGCTCATGTGGTTTAATCAGAACAATAAGTTCTCCAGAGGTGGTTTCTAAGTATATATACATTATATGGCATGAATTAACCCTTTGATTCATGAATTATGAAATCTTCAACCATGATTTTTTTAACAATTTTTTTCATTCATCTTTAGGTGTGAATGAAACAAATTTCAACAAATATTTTTTGTAAAATTTTATAATTTACAAATAATTTATTACATGTCCACCTCAGTGGACAGTGTGCATTCTGAGCATGAAATATGTTGGCTTGGCTTACTGAAGTCCAACTGGAGGGGCTCACATGCAATAAAGTCTTCAACAGCTGTGCTTAATAGCAAAAACAAATAAATAACAATTTTGAGTACCTGTCCACTGTAGTGACCAGTATGCATCAAAGGGTTAAAGATATGAATGTTTAACAAATACAATGTTTGTGGAAAGTATGCTGGTGAAGGTTGTCAGTCAACCAGGTCATGAAGTTGCCTTCATTTGAACCCTTTTGGATTTGTGGAAAGTGTTTCTTGTAAAAATTATTTTCTGTGATCCTTTTGATCAAATGAATGACACAAAACCAAAATTACTGATATGTATATATATATATATATATATATATATAAAGACTTTTCTTTCTTTTTTCAGTAGGTTTCCGGTTTGTTAGCTCCTTGTGTCATTTCTCATTGTCCATCCCTCAGCTCCTCGGTCACTCAGCTTCACACAGTTACTTCAACCAGCTCAGCTTTTGGTCAGTAGCAGTGGTGCCCCCAAGGGGGTGGACAAGGCCCATCCCCTGGAAAATTGCTGGCCACCCCACTGGCCCCCAGGAAAGAGATCCCCCACTTTGACACATATTTTTCAGAAAGTAAGGAAATAATAAATAGTAAATAAATATTTGGTTGTTCACCATTTTTTAAAAAGAAGCATAAATATCATTACTTTTATATATGATTTTGCAATGACAGGAACAGGCAAATTAAACTGTTCTAAAAGGCTAAACAATAAATGTTGAAATAAAAACTAATTGAAATAACTGAAATGTTTTTATTTTTGTTTTGTTTTTTTGTTTTAGTTTTTCAAATTTGAGGTAGACGTGTTGGCTGCATGTTGCATTAAATAAAAAAGGAAGGAGTGATGCAATCCACAGCTAAAGGCTAAGAGTTACCACAGGGATCAATTAGAACTGCCACCCTAAAACCTTCGCTGGCCCCTCATAACATTTTTCTTGGAGCACCACTGTCCAGGAAATGTAAACGATTTATAGAATTAAATGAAAATGACTTCAGATTGAGAGAGTTTAAAGTTGGTACATGATAACCTCCACTGGTGTCACGTTTGCACTGGTGAGCAGGTGACTTGGAGGCGAGCTCAAAGGCGTTGTGGGTGGGACGCACAAAACTGGCAAGCTCAGAAAAACTCACACACGTGTACAACAAGTGTGTCAATGAGGCTTTCTTTGCCTGCATCAATTATGAATAAAGGTAGAAGCAGGAGGGTGGAGGATAAAGCCCGGCGGGGGGGGGGGGGGAGCAGCAATGAAAGAGTGAAAGCGTGGGAGTTAAAAGGAAAGGGTGGATGAGGGAAGAAAGAGGAGGAGAAAAGATGGATTTGGGTGGGGAGAGGATGAAGGGGAGACATCTCTGGTTTCCCACTGTCACATATGGCAGAGGTGGAAAGAAAAGGACTGACACGTTACACCTTACTCATTGTCTCCACTATCTGCCTCTCTGACTCTCTCCCAGCTCGTGCTGTCATTTGCTTTCTGCTGCGCTGTGAACTGGGTCACCGCGCGGAAACTTTCGCAGAACGGCTCAGCATCAGTGAGAAGTTAGAGATGAACAAAAGTGGAGAGATGAGGAAATGAGAAAACGGGCTGAGACCAAGTAAGGAGGGGGAGCAGAGATTAAGGAAGGGCAGAAGAGGAGGAGGAGGAGGAGGAAGATGTTACAAATGAAGTACAAAGGTGGCAGTACAAAAGTAGATGGGATGAGGGTAATTTAGCTTTTAAGTTATATTTTTTAGTTATTTATAGAATGTGGTTTATTAACCAGTTTGTCCAGCTGATGGATGTCCAACAGAAATGTATTAAAGTGTTTTCATCAACATTAATTAGGGAAACATGTCAAAAGGCTTTTGTCTCCCTATTTATTGGTTCAGATGGATGTTTGCATCTGAAGCGCTAATAACATGAGCTGTTATGTAAAAGGAAAACAGCAGTGTCTGTCAGGTCCCAGGGCTGTGGGAGGTGCTCTTTCATCCACAGGTTGTTGGAGGGCTCATGGAGACGCTCAGGCGTACACCTCCCAGCTAAAGAGCTCTGCAGCAGAGTCACCTCTCTCACCTGCAGCTGATCAGCTAATCAAGACGGGAGGAGTAAAGGAGTCAGGGGAAAAGCCACTTACTGCCAGATTGTTTGCCTTCGTGGTAACATCCAGCCACCTGGACCAGTCCTGATTATCTAACATGAAAACCTTGCCTGTTCCTGACCTGCCTTCATTTACGTCCACAGGATCCCTGATCCCAAGCCAAGCTGACGCTTTCAGCCCTTCAGAACCGCCTCGATTGCGTTCTTCCCCTTCTCCAGAACCACGGCTGCTTAACTCCCTGGCTTTTGGATTTCCCCCCGCTCTGACATCTTCCCGTGCGTCTCCTATTCACCCCTCCAATGTTTCACCGAAAGTCATCTCCGCTTTTATCATTCTCCTGGTACCTGTTACTCACCTGAGCAGCTCCAGCACCTACTCACCGGTCTACAGCCCTGGCCCTGCTCACCTCTCCAGCAACTACCTTCATTCTCCTCCCAGTAAGATGTCTCCAACTGTCCTCTATTCCTCCTCGTTCCGCTCATAACCTCCTGTATTCTTCATACCGGTGGCCTAACCTCCAGATTCAGAACCCAGCCTATTACTGACCTGCCTTTTAGTTCCTGAAAATAAACATTTTGTAATTACACTGTCTCTTCAGTTTCTTGTGTATGTGGGTCAAATTTATTCCTAAAACCATGACAGTTTCTTTTTGAGCTTTAATTTTCAACAGAAAAATCAATTTGTGAATGCTAAAATAGCCAAAACTGTCCCCTGGCAGTTCTGATGGGATGTGGGTAAAACAGAACCATGACAATAAGTTGCGTTTATTGAGCGTATACACATTCAGCGTTTAACAGCGCCCCTGTTGCAGAATCAGCATGTAGGACCTTTGCCCTCAGCTGCTGTTGAAATATGCAAGCTTCCATATTCCCTCGGCTCTCTGCACTGTTGCTCCTTCTGAATAATCCTGCAGGATGGTCAGAAAGCCGCACAGGGACCTGTGTGTTGCACGAGACTCATGGGGTCCCAACAATTTATTCCCCACACAACGGACAACAAGTTGCCAAGTACAGTTTATTTCTAAATTCCTTGTAAATCACTTCAGAATATTAAATTTTTCATTAAGCTGTGCAGCTGAAGCAGCCAGAGGAATATTCAGTGAGCTATAGAATAAAATATGATTTCCCTGCTGAAATTCCTGCTTGTGCATATAGATGAACCCCAATTTATATTAAAGTTAAATACTGTTCAGTGGCAAGGCCAGGGAATAAGAACAACTTAATGTGCTACATTTGAATTTTTATAACAGTGCTGTGCAGGCCTGAGCGTGCACATGCATACTTCATATATGCGTGTGTGTGTGTGTGTGTGTGTGTGTGCTTATATTTTATAGTCAGATTGTGGAAGGAGGCCCATTTGTTAGCCACAGAACAACAGAAGGGTTCAGATTGACTAATGAGTTTCTCTGTGTCCTAATTAACCAGGCGTCACACACACATGCACGCATGCGTGCGCACACACTCGCACATCTTGTGTTGTATTGGAATGGATGGTAAAATGCTTCTAAAAATAGATTACTCTCCTCCTAACCTACTTTAGAAGAAATTCATCTTTAGGTTATAATTAAAGCAACGACTGTGAAAGCCCAAACTAATGTTCTTCAACATATTTGCCTTCCTTGTGTGTGTGTGTGTGTGTGGGGGGGGGGGGGGGGGGGGTTAATGAGGTTGGCAATTTAAATGTAAAATGTACAAGAAAAGGTGATTTGTGAGAACTTTTTGCACACCAACAAAGAGGTAAAGAGGAAGTTGTGAGGAGGTTTGCGTCGCTCACCTGCACATGATCTCATGCGTCAGCAGCACTCTGCACATCTCTGGATTCTTATCTTGGCCTTCGTAAACAATTGGCTAAAAGAGAGACAGACATCATAAAAAATTATTTGTTTTCATCTTCAGAGAAAAGGGGAGTCTACAGTTATGTTAACACATTGATACGTTGCTTTAAAAATGCAGAACAAGTAGAATAAGACCCAGATGCACTTTTCTGAATCTACATGACCTACTGGAACATGACTGGATCCTCAAATTTGGAACCTGTTTGGTGTGTTAGCAGTTGTGAAGCTCTGAGCGCTTCCAAATTGGGTTTGTTCCTGCTACGTTTCCACATCCTGAGATGCTCTTAGTGTGAAATAGTAAATTTCTGTTGCATTGCAATTAAACGTTTCACAACAAACACCTTTTTGCACAAGCAGTGAAGCTATTTTGTCACTCAGACCTGCTGAAAGGTGCCAGCCCCTGCCTGCACCGATGCATGCATGCATAAAAACATATTTGCATTTTCTTTTCAGTACACTGCACTCTAAATCTACCACACCAGTGCCAGATGATGAGAACATTTTACAGCACAGATCAAAGCCAATACACAAAGCCAAACTGCAAATTTCATTTCTGTTTCTTGTGTTGTTAAAATAATTGTTCTCCATCACATCACAACAGGAACAGAAGAGAAGTGTTGTTAAGGGTTAACAGGTTAGTTCCCACTTCACATCGACAAGCGTTGTTCATCAGTAACACTTTTACACACTCACACCCTCTGGCACACACACACACACACACACACACACAAAACAATCACGTCTCGTCAGCTGGCGTGCTGAGCAGGTGAATCTCTGACGTCTAACAGAAAATTAACTTGGGTACTCATAATGGACACACTTTCTGCTTCTGAAAATCTGTTCCAGCTGATGTGCCAACTGCTTCCATTATGTGACACTCTTGGTTGTGTAAGGAGGCTCAGAATAAAGCCCAGGCATAAGTCATACACCACTAAGTTATCCATCAATCTGCGAGCGCGTCGTGTCTGTCTTTGGTCTATTCCAGTCTGTTTGATCTGTCATTCTGAGCTGCAGAAAGTCTCGGCGAGTGGCAAGCTCACTTTTCTCAGGGAACAGCCAAGAAGTTTCTCTGTCCTTTGTAATAATCTTCAGCTCGGGTTCAGACTAGCTGCTGCCATCAGGTAAACATTAGGAAGTTAAGTTCCTGCGGTGGAGGTTTAACAACGTACCTCCAAAATCCTTTATTATGAGTACTCTGTATTTAAGTGAATGAGTTGTTTTTATACTAAACTCAAAATATTAGATTCATCATGAAGTAAAAGTCATTATTTTGATCTAATATATATTTTGAAAGCATTTATAAATGATAGCAGGTAAAGCTGAACGAAGTATCCGACTGCTACGCACCGCAGACGCCTTCTTAAAACGTCTTTTGCACAAAACTTGGAGGAGAAATGACTGTCCTTCGAGGAACCCCCAGGCCTGAAGGTTCCCTGTGGGGCTCCACCGGGAGGGAAGACTGGCAGAGATAGAGCCCCTCATTTGTGGAAGCTTCTGGCCCCCAGAAGACAGTTTGGATTGCTGTAGCATTAATGTAGAGCAGCTATGGTACCTGTTCAGTCTGGGGCCCACATCACTGTAGTCTACAGCATTTCCTTCTAACAGCGAGTTGTCTCTGGGGCCTTCTGTGTTTTCTGGAACTGGAGACCCTGTGTGTTTCAGAACCTCAGGCTCTTGTCAGTTACAATTTTTCATGAATGCACAGCCTGCTGAAAAAGTATTGACACATAAATGAGCCCAAAAGGCTCCTGGTGGTCCAGGACTCATGGGATGTGCACACTAAGGCTATCCAAGTAGGAATGCGATACAGAAAGTAGAAACACACAGGCTCTGCTAATGCTAGACTAACTTTTTCAAAATAGTAACTCGATCTAGAAAATACAATAAATAATGATCCAGAACGAAAACCTCTGAAACAGCCTCAGCTAGAGGTGAAATGTTGACAGGCTGATCTAACAACCAGAACATTAGGAGTATGTCTGCAGGCCACATCCATCAGCACTGGAGCTGCAAGAGTCCTGATTACAGCTAATGAAAACACGACGGAGTCTGGTCAGTTAAAAGAACCAAACAAGCTAACGGTTGATTCAGACAAAGAAAAGTGTTGCTTTTAAAACCATTTCAAGAAAATAACTTTTACCGTGGATGCAGTAATTTCATCACTATCCCCACTAACACACACACACACACACACACACACAGAACCTTTCAGGTAATAATTGTAATCAGGGTCTATAAAACATATGGTTTCATATTAAATAATAAACGACACATTTCTAAGCTCCTGGGCTCCCATTCTGCTCTAAATGATCATAAATATTGTGTCAGTTAACCAATAATTAAAAAAAAAATAACTATGTTTATTTCAACCCTACTTTAAGCTGCTTTACTACAGTTTATGTTCCTCTGAGCTCAGTTTTCTCTGTGTTGACCTGAGCTCGTTTAGCTCTGTTACTCTGATATCAGTAGGCTGTGTAGTACTACGAGTTATAGATTACTGTGTATTACTCTGAGCTTATTTTGGTGTGCATTACTGCTTGGAAGCATGATTTCCTGATGGTTCCCAGTGTTTATACCCCTTTTGGCAACAGATAAACCAGTATAAACCCAATAAATAAATAAATAAAAACACTTCTATTTTTCTATAAATATTCTTGTAGAAATCCAGCAGAAGACTGCACTGATTAAGGTATTAAATGACAATCACATCAATACAGATTCAGGCAAAACTTCTGCCCTGATGATGCTTGATCTGGATGCAGCTTTTGATACTGTGGACCACAACATCCTTCTTGATAGGCTCATAAACTGGGTGGGACTATCAGGCACAGTCCAGCGTTGGTTCTGATCATATCTCGAAGACAGGGGTTATGTTGTTTCCACTGACGATCACAAATCAAAGCTGATCACCATGACTTTTGGGGTCCCCCAAGACTCGATTCTTGGACCACTGCTCTTCACTGCTCTACATGCTCCCCTGGGTCAGGATATGTGCAATAATAACATTACCTACCATTGTTATACAGACGACATCCAGACCTACCTAGCTCTATAGCCTATTGAATGTGGTCCTCTAGACTCACTCTGTCAGTGTTTGGAGCAAGTCAATGATTGGATGCAATCAAACTTCCTCCACCAACAAAGACAAGACTGAAGTTACTGAAAGAAAGATAGGACGGAGGTTATTGCTTGACTTGGCAATAAAGATGAAGACCCAGGTTAGAAATCTTGGTGTCATACTGGTCACATTAAGACTATAACTAGATCAGCATTTTATCTTCTTCATTAGATCACATGACTCAAAGGTCTCATGTCCAGACAGGACCTAGAGAAACTCATTCATGCGTTCATCTCCAGCAGGCTGGACTATTGCAATAGGCTTTTGTCTGGTCTTTCCAAAAAAGCTGTGAAGCAGAATGCTGCTGCTAGAGTCTTAACAAGAACCAAGAGAAGAGAGCACATCACTCCTGTTCTTAAATCTCTAAACTGGTTACCAGTAAACTACAAAATCAATTTCAAAGTACTTCTACTAGTTAACAAATCACCCAATAGCATGGGGCCAGAGTTAATGAGTGTGTTTACATGCAGCCAGTAACCCTTTTAAAACCCGAATATTCACAATAACCCGGTTCCGCACGGCCATGTTAACACCGCCAAAAACCCGGATATGCTCATGACCGGGTTTTTAAAAACCCAGTTACTACACCTGGGGTAACCCTTTTCTAACCAGAATGTTTGGTCGTGTAAACGCATATCGGGATATCCCCATCAAAGCGTGTGTTCTGCGCATGTTCTGTTCGCAAGGAATCTTGGTCTTTTGAGTAGCGAGACGTCTCGTATGCGCCAGAACACCGGAAGCAAACAACAAGTTGGGAGCAACATGGCGAGTCGCGGCACAGCACCACACTTTTGGAGTGACGAGCAAACCTCTGTCTTCATCGGTCTGGTGAAAAGTATGAACATTATGTCTTTTGCTGAAGGCCGAAAGTACAGAGACAGCGAAATATGACGCATATTGCATCTTGATGTAGTCCATACGTCCTGACGCTACCCCAACGTCCGCATTTATATCGGGTTATGCAAGTTAGGGGTAGCTCTATCTATTTATGCTTGTAAACGGGTTATTCTGATCAACTCAGAAACCCGAATACCGACCTTAACCCGATCATAACCCGGATATTGGCTGCATGTAAACGTAGTCAATGTCTTTGCTGTGTATACCCCCAGCAGAGCTCTGATATTCTTATGAAACAGTCAGCTGGGAGAACTCCAGGTCAGAACCAAACAGACTGAAGCTGCTTTTAGCTATAATGCTGCTCACAGATGGCATCAGCTTTGTCTTTTTATCCTATTCTTACATCTAATTTTATGTTCTTGCTCCTGGAAAGCACATAGAACTGCTTCTGTGTATGAAATCTGCTGTACAAATAAAGCTGCTGCGTCTTGCAAAATCACAGTTACTGAGAAGTAATTTCTGAGAAGTAGTCGGTATTTTTTTCCTTTTCCAATTTATTTGTTTAATTTTTTATTATTTTATTTTATTTATTCTTTGACTCGTCATGAGGATGCTCTGGATTAAAAAAACATGTGCTTTCCTGTTTGGTAACCAGATTTCTGAATGGTGATGTAAACTGACATTCTAAAAATAATTTGCTCATAATATTTAAGCCACCCTTTGTGACAGGCTCTGGTACAAATGCGAAACTCCTCCTGCCGACCCATCCCGTGCTCTTGTCATCTCTGTCACTTTCCCCGCTCTTCTCCTTTGCCTTCATCATGTTTCCCACCTCTGTCTTCTCCCTCCCTCTGCCTCACCGGGCCTTTCACACCTCATCTTTGCTGCTCTCTCCTCCTTTTTGAAGTAACGTGATGCGCGTGGCATGTAAACAAGGATCCATCGAGCGGGGAACACACTTCCTCCTGCGTTAGTGTCAGTTTGACTTGTGAGCTTGTGATCCAGCAGAGCCACAGTGACAGGACTCTTTATTCTCCGGGACAGAGCTGTGATCAACAAACCCCATACCGTGCTTCCAAAAGACCGGGACGCGCCCGTGTCCCCCATTTAACTCAATTAGTGCTCACTTTCAGAGCAGGTAGGTGTCCCGAAATAGAGCAGTAATTAGAATAGGTGCCAGCTCCGAGTGCCAAATGTTGCAGTCAACCTGTACTGTTCATAAAAAATTACAGGATTACAAAGATTTCAACAGAAGATGGTCTCCAGCAACATCAAAAGCACTTTCGGTTGCTTTTCACAGTGAAAACATCCATGCTTGTTGCTGAAACATCCAATTTGCATGTTGGTGAGTTCATGACATGAAATATGGAATAAAACAAGTCACAACATCACCCCCAGACCACCTGCTTTCCAACTGGCTTCTGTTTAGGTGCCATCTTTCACCAACTGCCTCTGTTTTTAGACTTTCTGAAACGGTGAACGCTCCTCCGAGGGCTTTACGCTCCACGTGCTGAGTGAAAATATTCCCAGCACTTGTCTTCAGCTTTTAAATGTGATCCATGCAGTTTATCCAGTGCGGCCACTAGCACGTTACACCTCATTGCAACTGTTTCTCCCTTATCCTCCCTGATCTTCTTCTATTTCTGCACTTTAACGGTCTTTAACGTCATATGTAATAGGTATGCTACTGCTGTAGCCGCGTCTAGACCCCCCAGATTAGCAGAAGCTGTTTGTGAAAGCAGCTGCGGCTAAACTGCTCTTGGTGTGAGAAGACGACGGTGTTGAACTCGTGATGCTCTTTTGGGAGAAGTTTTTTTAAAGGTGGCACAACAGAAGTGGTTAGAAGATGTTTAGAGTGGAGCATTGACACGTTTCTTTGACACCTTGCTCTCTTTTTCATTGTAAATACTTTCTTGTCCTCAGTTTTGGTTCAGTTTTACTCCTTGTGCCATTTCCTGCCTGTTTTCCTCATACTCTCACTCCTTTAATCCGACACACCTGTTCTCCAGCTGCAAACCTGCCCACCTGTCTCACATCCGCTAATCATCTCCGTCTGTATAAATAGTCCTTTGTTTCACTACGACCATGCACACACGTAGCCAAGTACCGCACAAAATGAAGATATTTTTCTAGCTTGGCTGCAACAAAAAATAATTTAGTCAACAGCTCAGACCAAATTGCAGCAGATTCGCTGTTTCAGGTTTCATAACGTCACCGCCTGCAACAGAAATGTGTTTACATTTGCTTGTTGATCCAAGCTCAATTACTGCTCTGTGTAGAAGACAACAGGTGAAAAAATGTTTTTCGCGGAAAGACAAAGACATTTGGGGAACTACTGCCCCCTAGAGACTTGGCATGCCTATGAATGTGCTTCATAATGCATTGGCTCTTTTGGCCGAAAACAAGTAGCCTGACAAACCACCCTTAAACATGAATATAGTCTGGACACGGCCTTGACAGCTCTCAGTCGTGGGGCGGGATCTACGGTTATCTTTCAAAATGTCTCCAAATGCTATTGGATAACTAACAATGTGACGTACTTTCCGCTATGGACGTCAGTCAATGGAGCACTCCGTAATACCCCACTTATACTCAAGTACCTCTATCTGCTCTTGAATCAGAGGACAGCCCAAGTCAAAATAGTCCAAAGTTGATGTCAAAGCTGTCTCAAACGAGTCGTCGCCATCTTTGTTTTTTTGCTCAGTTGCAGTAACATCCCAGCCACCAACAGAGCGCTGTGTTTGGACCGCTACAAAGCTATCGCCATCTTAGTTACGCTCAGTTGCACCAACATCCCGCCCAGCTGACTGATAGAGCGCCGTGATTGGCCCGGCACCAGATGGCTGTGGGTATGGAGCATTGCTAGACGTTCCCTTTTGCTTCAGCAAACTGATGGTATGGATTTCTAGGCTAGAAAAGGCGGTGGTGTGGACCCAAGTTTTTCTCCTAGATGGGCGGGGCAGGATTTTTGGTTTTAATAAGACCCAGCCTTGGTCCATGGATTCTGCTGTTGGTGCTTTCGTCTGATGCCTACATGCAAGCTCCTTAAAACACATTTAAAAAAGATGTTTGCCTTGTCAGGCTCTTGTTGTTTAGCATGTTTAAAAGCCGTGTCAGAGTGAGTGTGATGACAGAAAACAAAAACAAGGTAATAATGAACTAAAATGAGTTAAAGGTTTTATAAAAGTGGTCAAAATAATTTAAGTCCAGCTTTGTCGTGTTTTCTGTTACATTCAACATACAACGACTGAAAAGTTGCACAGGGAACAAAAATGCAAAGATCCATAGCCATTCCTTCCATTCCATTCCACAAGTTTAGAGCAGAAAATAACATAAAACATGAAAATCTGGACTGTTCTCTGGTGTGTGAGTGTGTTTTATGTCAAATAGACATGAGAAGAGACAGATTTAGGTTTGTATCGTGAAATTTAAAGAGCAAAGTGTTGCTTTTATCTTCAAATGTATAATAAAAAAACAATAAGCTCTGAGCTGCTGTGTGTTTTCATTTTCCCAGTTTGGCAGGACAACAATGAGTGTGTGTGGCTAGGAAGACAGCGGCCATGACATCACTGACCAACAAAGCCAACCGCATGGCTGTTTTGGTTCGACCACCTGTTAATGTTCCATGGGAACAACACACACACACACACACACACACACACACACACACACACACACACACACACACACACACACACACACACAGCAATAACATGCATTTGATTGTTTTTGTACATTTAAGTTTGTGGAGAGAGAGAGAGAGAGAGAGAGAGAGAGAGAGAGAGAGAGAGAGAGAGAGAGAGAGAGAGAGATTGGTGCAGTGTGGCAGCAGTAATGTGAGACTGTCAGAGCCTGCATGGAGTCACATTAGCGAGTATTCAGTGTGTAGCATGGCTTCTTGGCTCCTCACACCCTGTCTGACACACACACACACACACACACACACACACACACACACACACACACACACACGACCATTTTCATCCTGTTTCCCAGAACAAGAACTAAGTTATGTTAACCTGATGCCAAATGAAGGTAAAACTTTATGTGTTTTTGTCCTAAATCTTCCTCATGAACATAAACAAAAAACATTAGCAGCCAAAGTGGATCTGATCAGAAACTGTTTCCTTCTCAGCAGAACAAATCCCAGAGGTGCCACTTCCCACCGTGAACAGCAGACTTATGCTCCTGTTCCTCAACACCCGCTCACTGCCTCCTCGCTCTAATACAGCAAGAGAAGCACAGAAAAAAACGCCTGCAGCCATGCAGTGTGTGTGTGTGTGCATCTCCACCTACACGCACACTGTAGGAACACCCACCAGCTGAATCACACACACATAAATGCTCATCTGTGTGTGTGTGTAGTTACAGTACAGGCAGGCGGTGGATCAGTGGAGCGGCTCATTGTCAGTGAGGTAACAGGAGAGGTGGCAGACTGCTGTCGGTGTGTGTGTGTGTGTGTGTGTGTGTGTGTGTGTGTGTGTGTGTGTGTGTGTGTGTGTGTGTGTGTGTGTGTGTGTGTGTGTGTATAAAAGTGTGTGTTCATGTTTACCTGTTTAGTCATGGAGTCTATGAGTCTAACGTAGAAGTCCTGCTCTGTTCTGATGCCTGAAGAGGAAACAAGAGATAAACTTATACGAGACAAAGAAAGTCAGGATGAAGTGACTTTAACAGAAGAGAAAACTGATCATTCTTGCAGATCTTAGCAACAGATTTACAAAACTGTACATATTTGTAAGATCTTTGAGAAAATATATGCATAAACATGTTACTATTAATAAAATGTGGATATATTTGCCTTTTTAAAAGAGTTACTTCTTAATTAGGCAAAAGGGGTGCAGTGTAGAAACTAAATTATATTTAGCTGAGGTGGAGTCTGACACATTTCATCTTTTCAGAGCCACCAGACAAATACTTAATATCTATTCTAAACTGCAGAAAAATTCTGCAAACATACTTTTTCAAAAGTATCACAATTGTCTCAGTTTTTACGCCACATGTCAGCCTCAGATATTTAAATAAAAACCCTCTTTTTGTTTTAACGATTCTGCAAAATCTGTTCTGTGAGCATCAACATGTGCCAGGCCTCCGTGCGCGCGCGTGTGTGTACACGCGTGTGTGTCAGGCCACTCACCGTTACTGTACAGAAGCTGCAGCCTGTAATGAATCCCGTTATTGGTCTTTTCTCCGCTTGTCTCCTAAACACACACACATACAACACATCCCCAGCTGTTTAACGTTTAAATATAAATAAATAAATAAATAAATAAATAAATAAATAAATAAATAAATATTCTGTCTGCACGCGTAGATTGTATAGTATCCAGAGCAGAGTCATAATAAATAAAAATGAGATTTTATGCAGCTGATATATTAAATAAAACGCAGCCTTGTAATTTCCCTCTCATGGAATCATCGTGTCGTTGTGGAGTTTTTCCTGATTTAATTCCTCTGTTGTTATGTTTTAGAAGGGAGGGAGAATAATAAATCCAGCATGGAGTTGTCCCGCAGCTGCAGCATCGCGATGTCATAATTGAAGGGGAGGTTGCGGCGCTGTTGTTTATTTAGAACAAGTGGTTCTGTTGGACCGAGCTGTAAATAAAAAAACATTTAAAACGTGTAGAGAATGTTGGATGAACGCATGAATCTACGTTTAGAAGGGGTTGGGTGGATTTAATTTCAGGCCTTTTTCTACACAACAACAGCAACAGCAGCAGCAGCAACAACAACAACAACAATAATAATAATAATAACAATAATAATAATAATAATAATAATAATAATAATAATAATAATAACGAAAGCACGATTGTGTCTCGTTTTTAATGACAAGACTAAAATCTAACCCCACATGAATAAATAACCAGGCCTGTGATCCATTTTTGTCTCACCTTCTCTTTCTCGATGAAATCCACGAAGTTGGTCCTCTCGATCTCCACCGGTTGTCCCTGCCGGTCGTACAAAGCCAGGACAAAGTGGAAGAAGTTGGACTTCCGCAGGTTGGATGGCGGCTGCTTCTCAAAGTGAGCCCGGGCCAGGCCAACTCCACTGCGGACACACAGACGAGAACGAGTCGCTGTTATAGAAAAAGGCCATTTTTTTCTAACCAGAAAGTGCCATAAAAAAGATTAAAATTTGATGAGTATCTTTAAATTGTTATGATTTATTCTGATTAGTTTTATTGATTTTTAGGCCGCCACGTTTATTCGATTTATTCTTATGCAGAAAAAACACCAGAAATTGTAGATGAATCGAAAATTAAGAGGTCAAAAAATAATGTATACATTTAAAATTTTACAAATACAATAATCTGTTTTACTTCATTTGGAACCACCAGCAATAATTTCACATTTTATTCCCTTTGATCTTTTTATGACTCAAAACCCATCTTGAAACTTTATGCGTGGTAATCCAGACCACGTGCGGACACTGAGTGATGACAGGGAGTGATGTGAAATAATTTAGAAGAAAAGAACTTTATTCTCCAGTCTGAGTCTTTAAATCCAAAAGCCTTCCTCCGGACAGCAGCAGCTTGGATCCTCGCAGGAAACAAGCCAGAGGCGCTCTTTGTTCGGGATTCACCCGAGCAACGCTCACCTTTGGGCGGCCGTGTTGGCGTCCAGCACGCCGCCCCCTTGCATCCAGCTCCGGACGTTCATGCCTCCCAGCGGCTCCTCTTTCAGACCGCTGCCGCTTCTCTGGATGCTCTCCTGGATCCCAAACATGAACGAACGTGCGCTGTTGTCTCTCTTCCCGAATGCGCGCTTGTCCCGCTGCTGGATCAACGCGGACGCGCTCCTGTCCGCCACTGCGTGCGCCTCTGCCGAAATCACGCACTGCGCTCTTTATTCCTCTGGTCCAGCTAATGGAGTGGATCCTACAACTGAGCGCGAATCACACAAGAGAACTGAGATCCAAAGTGTCCAAACATTTAAATCTCGGCGTTAAAGGATGACAGGAACAGAAATTGACTCCACGCTGAAAGTCAATCCCGACGCGCTAAGATCCAAAGTTTGAGCTGTCAGAAGGGCAGAAAAAGAGATCCACCAGCGCCCGGATCGGATGTCATCATTGTCTGGCACTTCTTTCTTCTTCTCTTCACTCTTTTGTCCCCGGCTTTGCCTCAGTCCCGTGATCCAGGACGCGCTGTAGAGTCGGTGATGTCCGACGCGGATGACTCCTCGCTGCTCTGACGGAATCGCTTTGTGACTCTTCCCAAAGGACCCTCTCTGAGAAGCAAGCATGGGCTTCTCCCACCCTAAGGGGTGTGGGGTGAGTGAGTGAGAGAGGGAGAGAGAGAGAGTGATCGAGGAAGAGAGGGGTGGGAGGGGAACGAGAAAGGAGAAAAGAGGGGAGGGGTGGAAGAGAGAGGGGGAGACGCCCCCAATCAAGGCTAGAGCAGCGCTCTGTCCTCCTCCTCCACTGCAGGTACCTGCTCCCTGTGTCTTCATGGGATTAAAGTTTGAAAATGATCACCTGCAGCAGAATAAATGTGTAAAAACAACGTCTAAAGGGCAAAGTTGTCTATTTTTGGATCTTTACGCATCTCTCCAGTGTTTTACGCACGAATAAAAGTCTCTTAGAATTGAATTAAATCATCCGTTTCACATCCAGAACCAGTATCACCCGAATCAAACGGGACCAGAGATGATGAACAAAACAGAAAACAGTCTAAATTCCTCCATAAATACAGTTTGGAGGGAATTTGATCCAACTCTGACTTTTATTTACCACCGGTCGCTCATGGCTCGTTTATGAAAGCCATTTCTCATCGTCGCAACATATTCCTGCTCCTATTGTCTCCCGCAGGCCCGCTTTTTTTGCACCCCTGCCGCAAGACACACAAACAAACGCGACAATAACAATAATTAGCTCAAAATAACAATGAACATAATTGAGGATAATTGCGACCAGATTTCCCTGCTTTGTCTCTCCCTCTGGCACCATCTGTTATTTGAAACTATTTATCACACCGCTAAGGGGAAAGCCAAAACTAAATACAAACAATGAGAGATGACACGTTGAAAATAAAATAGTGTATTGATCTGTTAAAGTGCAAAAGGTCAACAACTCCCGGATTAATCCGCTCGCTGCCTGCGCGAGGAAATGATTGGCAGGTTGAGATCTGGCGCAGTTCCAAGGTTTTATTCCCAAATACTGCTGGAAAACGCTCTTGACCTTGATTAAGAAGAATGAGATGCACTCGGACGACAAGATCATCCCGAATTTAGAAGAAAAATAAAGACGGCAGGCTCTGAAACGCCTCAGAATATTTATAATAATATCTATCGGGTCGTACGCTAAAAAATAAGTTTATGATTAAACTCAATCTTGTAGATTTTTACAAACACCTTGAAACTTTTATCTCTTCAGTTTAATAATAAAACTCTTCGGTGAGTTATTATGAATTCAGCTGAAATGTATACGAATTTATTACAAATATTAGGCTGGGTCAAGTCTTAAATACACTCAAAAACAAACACAAAACAGCTCAGAAACCACGAGTAGTCTGAAGAGTACAACAAATAAAACACATCTGATTTAAAAATAACACCGAAATGTAGAAATGAGCGCGCGTGGAGTCCCCACGGAGCTGCGACACGCTCTCCGGCGCGCGCGCGTGAGCGTCCATCCATGTGTGTGTGTGTGTGTGTGTGTGTGTGTGTGTGTGTGTGTGTGTGTGTGTGTGTGTGTGTGTGTGTGTGTGTGCACGTTGTGCACGAGAGTTAGATGGTTTGGTTTGTGGCGCGAGTGCAAAATTGGCACAATAGCGCCATCTCGTGTCTGTTTTGCGCAATAGGTCTAAAACTCCAATTCTCACTCCTATAATACTAATAAATAAAAATATTAAGTATAACAATAAAAATATTTTATAATTAATATATTAATAAATAATAATGCACTTAATGTCTTTCTTTGTGGACAAAGTCAATAAGGTTAGATCTAGAATCTCTCCTTCAGCCTTATCGCCGCCTCTCCCGACTCCAACCAGGCCCATCATCCTAGATAGCGTTGCTCCTGTTTCTTTGCCTGAGCTAACTCTATGAAGACCTCTGCATGCCCCCTCCACATCTTACCCTCATCTTTGTTTAAAAAGTGCTTTTCAGCCCATCGGTCCCAGCGTGCTCTCTATAATTAATGCTTCTCTGGTTTCTGGTCAGGTCCCTGCTTACTTTAAGAATGCTGTAATCCACCCACTTCTTAAAAAAACAAGTCTCGACCCCTCTCTCCATAGCAGCTTTAGACACATCTCTAAACTTCCATTCATCTCCAAGATCTTGGAAAAGGTTGTGGCTAAACAACTCACAGCTGCTCTTGATGAACATAACATCTATGATAGCTTCCAGTCAGGTTTTCATAGAGCTCATTCTACTGAAACCGCTCTTCTTAGGGTCTCTAATGACCTTCTGACTCACAGTGATGCAGGGGACTGTTCTGTTCTGGTCCTGCTGGACCTGACTGCAGCCTTTGACACTGTTGACCATCACCTGCTACTGGAGAGGCTGAGAGACTGGGTAGGCCTATCAGAATCTGCTCTGGAGTGGTTCTCCTCTTATCTCTCTGAGCACTCCTTCTCTGTGGCCGTCTCCAAGTTTAGGTCCTCCACCACCTCTCTTACCCATGGTGTCCCACAAGGTTCTGTGCTGAGGCCTCTGCTCTTCCTCCTCTATCTGCTTCCTCTTCAGCACATCCTGAGCTCCTTCAAAGAAATCTCCTACCATCTTTATGCAGATGGCATCCAACTGCACATCCCCTTTAAGCCCCATGAGATGTCTGAGCTGCAGCTGTTACACTCCTGCTTAGACTCTATCAAAACCTGGATGGCTGGGAGCTTTCTTCAGCTGAATGAAGATAAGACTGAGATCCTCATCTGTGCCCCAGACAAGCTGGCTCCTAAAGTCAGAGACTCTCTTGGTCAGCTTGCTTCTCACACCAAACCTTCTGTCAGGAATCTTGGCGTGACCTTTGACCCAGCTCTCACCCTGGATTCTCATGTCAGTTCTCTTGTTCGCTCTTCCTTCTTCCATCTCAGGAACATTGCAAAGCTGAGTCCCATTCTGTCCCGCTCTGAACTTGAGACAGTTCTCCACACCTTCATCTCCTCACGCTTAGACTACTGTAACTCTCTTTTCACGTGTCTGAGCAGAACCTCCCTGAACCGTCTACAGGCGGTTCAGAATGCCTGTGCTCGGCTTCTGACCAAGTCCTCCAAACACACCCACATCACCCCGCTTCTCCTCCAGCTTCACTGGCTGCTAGTCAACTTCAGGGTTCATTTCAAGATCCTGGTTCTGGTCTATAGGGCCTTACATGGACATACACCATCTTACATTGGTGATCTTCTTAGTCCCTACACCCCCAGCAGGTCCCTGAGGTCCAGTGATCAAAGCCTACTGGTTGTGCAGCGCACCAGGCTAAAGACCAAAGGTGACAGATCATTTGCTGCTGTGGCCCCCAGACTCTGGAACTCTCTCCCCCTGAGCCTGAGATCAGTGGACTCAGTGGTCTCCTTTAAAAAGCAGCTGAAGACTCACTTGTTCAAGCTGGCTTTTGTATGACCTTCTTCACCACTCTCTTTATTCTGCTCTCCCCACTTATTCCACCTTCCTCAGGATCCACTGATTTCCCTCTTTCCTATTCACTCTCTCTCTTTCTTGACATTTTTTAATCACAATTGTCTATTTTTTGCTCATTTTAATATATTTTTAACCATTTTCTAAATTATTTTTTATATTTTTACATTTTTTGTTTTTGTGAAGCGCCTCGTGATTTTTATCTTGAGAGGCGTTACAGAAATTATATTTTCTTCTTCTTAATGGTGAATAAATACCAAAATGTGGACAAATACCAACTTCAAATGTGATTTTACATGCACTCAACAATATCACAATCAGCTGCTATTAGCTTTTTGCAATAAATCTGAGGTGTGACTAATAAGTAATGTGTCTGGCTCACCTTAGCAGCTCTGGAACCCAAGTCCTTGAGGAACCATACTCTTTTCCTCACTCAAATTGCGCTGGGTGGAAGGAGGGCCAGGGCGAGCCTTCTGATATCGAGGCAGAGCGTTGGGCTCTGTGGACCTGCTCGTTACCCTTGCTAGGATGCTGAAGGGTTGCCAAACCAGTCCGCATGTAGAGCTGGAGAATGTCACCATACATCCATATGCTGCTGTTGGTCTCTCAGGTGAAAGCCAATGGAGAGAAGAGGGTCTGGGAGTGGGGCTGCTGCTCCTGAACCTAACCTGAATAAGCGGACCACAACGATGAAATCTTGAAGGTATTAAAGTTTAGCTAAGAGATCACAGTCTAAGGAGACACTTTAAAGACACTGACTACAGGAGTCGTCTCATTGTTCTGGAAAGCTGCCAAAAAATGAGATTTTTGGTCCCCCAACAAAATGCTCAAGGATCTATGCAAAATTTTCACATAAACCTCTTTTTTGCGAGTTATTGGAAAGCACAATACATTTTGAGTCACCCGTGAGGGGCCAAAAGTGCATTAGGAAGAATTTCATAGTAATAAAATCAAGAAAACATAAAAGTAATACACAATTTACTAATAAAGATTCTGAATGGTATCTTATCCCATAAACAACTTTTGTCACAATATTTACAGCCTCGCTGTCACTGGTCTAAACTACAGCATCTGAATCTTAATTGTTTTGGATGAAAGTCAGATATCAGACTCCTGTGTGCTGGAGTACACACACACTGGGGATTTAAGCTTTATTAATCAGAAATAAAAAGAGACTTTCCAGAATGGATGCTTGATTTTATTCGACATTCAGTTTTTTAAAATAACCAAGGCAATGCCAGGCATCCGGTCCAAACCATTTAAATGGACACAGCTGGCATTAAGCGCCAGTTTTACTGAGCAGGACTGGAATCTGTTTAGAAGAGCACCCATGAACACAATCCTTTTCCACACATTTAGAACAGATAACACCGGGCAGCAGAGTTAAATGTGCATTCACAAACTATGGCAGCTATAGATTCAATATCCATATTTGGTTTGACTTCAAGTGTTAACATGTAGATGTAAAACAAACTTTTTAAAACAATTAACATTGAAAATAAAGAAAGCAACATCAGGTCATATATATATAGATTTGAAATTACCCAGATTACACAAATGTATTAGAAACAGAACACTCTAATATTTGAGTTTTGGGGGCAAATTTAGTATTTTTCTTCAAATGAGCAATGCAAAGTCGTGGTAATAATATTCAAATGACAGTTTAAGCTGAAATGTTCAAACTACACTGCTGAAAAATTAGACTTTGTGCATTTGTTGAGTTAAATACACTGTAAAAAATACAATGTTTACTTAACCATGTCAACTGGTTCCACTAAACCCACTAAAGAGTAACATTCATTGTTATGGTAAAAGTAAAATGTATTCCTCTTTAAGCCACTGGGGTTAGTGGAACCAGTTGACACAACACGGTTAAGCCAACTCAACATTTTTACTGTAGCCTCATCTACAACTGAAAAGCTGGACGTACATAACGTAAACACTCCGCTTTAACACTGAAATAAAGTCCCAGCTTGAATAGTCGCACAAGCGCTGCACAAATACAAACTGAATCAACAGCTGCCAAACATCTGTGAAGTTACTTAATACTGCAATGCAGATTCACATCCGGCTACCGGTGGGAAATGATCACCTTCACACCCTTCTGACTAGCAGGCGAATAAACACATCTCTACCCCGTTTCGTTCCGAATCAAAAACAAATAAATGGAGCTGATAAAAAAAGTAACAAACAGTCGTAATGTTCATCTTTTCAGAGAAAGATGTGCAAAAGACATCAGACTCGACACTTAATTAAAAAAACAACATAAGCAGCAATGGACAGGTTTGATCATACATTAAACATGTATTCATCTTCAATCCTGAAACCAACATGCTTAAAAAAAGTATCAAATCATTCATTATGATGACCTTATAATTAATAGTGGTAGTAAATAATACTGCTGAGGGTTGGACCAGAACACTTCCAGTCCGTCAGTGCCATGCTGATCCCACTCCTAACAGTAGAGGGCACTGGAGTGATCACACCAGCTCAGACACGTCATGCAGACAGGAGAGAGAGAGAGAGAGAGAGAGAGAGAGAGAGAGAGAGAGAGAGAGAGAGAGAGAGAGAGAGAGAGAGAGAGAGAGAGGGCGTAACACTGATCTCAGATCAGAAAGTTCAGATCCCCCAACAGCCTCTAAATCAGGAAGCTCGGAGGAAACCAAAATCCTCCCAATCACACAAACGCAACAGCACTCCTCTGGTTGAGCATACATATGAGCAACATTTATCATTTATGTACACGCCACACACAAACAGATCAGGCTGCTTCCTCCTACATCAACATCAGAGGGGCTTTGGTTGCTGACAGCCACAGAAAAGCTTTGGAGCATTGCTAGTAAAAATGACATTAGTGCAAACGACGACGACGAAACAAGAAAATGTAGAAAAATCATCTGGAGAGGGGTTTGCAAGCTTTATGTATGCAAAAACGACTCAACTCTGTCATTTTAACACTATTTTCCACCTTATTTGCATGAACCGACTTGTGTGCACGTGTGAGCTAAATAAAAAAAGGCTAAATGTGCTGGTAGTAACGTCTGATGAAGCAGAACACAGATGCTAGACAGGAGGGGGTGGAGCAAAGCTCGGGAGGCTAAATGAATAAGATCAGCACGTCTGCTTCCGGGACTTATTTACACTCCGTGATAACAGTGGTACAAAACTTTGGCGGCGAGGAATAGGTTTGTTTTTTGCTGGGACCAGCCAAACAATTCGATTTGAACGCTGAAGATAGCAAAAATTCTCCACATACAAAAAACGTACAAGTCATTCTTTTGTGAAGCCACCGATCTGTTCACACAGCCGGGCTCGAGGAACAACATTCAGTTTGCTTAGTATTCAGTAACAGAACTACCAACCATCCAGCAGTTCGGCCCAAAAAACACCAAAAAAAAACCCAGAAACGCGTAGAAGTTGATGAAATGTTAAAGACCGTCACAGTTTCAAATGTAACCATCAGTCTTCCGTTGTCTGTTGTAGCACTCCTGATCCGTTTTTCAATATTTCATGGCATGTACTGGATGAACCCCAAATGTACAGCAGTAGAAAGGAATTGCAGGCAGGATAAACGAATACAGAGAAAAAAAAACATGGTAATGTTACAAAAATGCCAAATTCAACCCAGTAAGCTCAAACTGAACTCAACCAGGTAATGATGCATTATTTAAATTTCACATTTTATGGATATGATGCACGGCCGACTGATTTCTGAGATGAGAGCTGCGCTTTTCCTTTGTCGCGATTTAAATAAAAGACAAAAATAAGTTGTCGATGGAGATCACTGCCAGCATGAGGTCAAAGGTCAATATCCAACTGTAACCGTACCAGTGGTCCTTTTCCCTTCCAAACGTGATTGTTCTGGATTTTATCCCCCGAGAGGGACGTGGAGGAGTTTACCGGTCAGGAGAACCTAAGTGTGGGCGGGTGAAATACAAGCAGAGCGTAATCAGATGAAGGATTTTTAAGTGCATGCACGTGTGATGCGCGTGTTGCCATGGAGCTCAGAGGCAGAATGGAGGAGAGTTTTCCTCAGAAGCTGTGCTGCTGGTGAGAACGTGATAAGGTGGACTCGAGTGTGGGTCCGGCTCCAGCTCAGCTGTGGGGGTCGTCTCTGCAGGAGATGTGTGAGGGAGGGACGGAGCGTCGGACGTAGAGGGAGAAAATGACGAGGTTTGTGACTCCAGAGGAAAACAAGAAGAGGACGATGATGATGGAGGTCTGACAGGTTGTACAAAAGGACATGATGATGTAGCTCCGTCATCTTCTTCCTGCCCTGCTGACCCCTCCTCATCATCATCACCATCCTCTGACTGAGTTTTATCCTTGTTTTCATCTGAGGCTCCTTCCTGTCCCGCAGAGCTCTGATTTGTCTCAGAGTTGGACGCGCTGGCAGCTGGGGCCTGGCTCTTGAGCTGAGCGTGACACAGAGGACAACTCTCCTGGACGTACAGCCACTTCTTCAGACAGCCAGCATGGAAGAAATGACTGCATGGAGTGATCACAGCACTGCTCATGTCCTGCAAAAACCATTAAGTTGAACATTAGAGAGGGTTCCCAGTATCTACTGGTCATCGTTATAAACGCAGGACTTAGCATACCTGGAAGCAGATAGCACAGATATCGTTGTACTGCTCCAGCTGGGCGTCACTGGCAGTCGGGAGGCTTTTGATCTTGTTTACAGCGTCTCTCCTGCAGGAAGCTCTGCCAGCCCAGCTGGGCTCGGAGCCAGACATTATAGTAGGAGTGGACCAGGATGATGGTGCTTCCCATAACGCTCCACTCCCCAAAGACGGTTTCTGATATGCCGTAACATACCACACAAACGGCCACCTGGCAAAGCAGAACATCAATGACCGTTTAGGATCTAATCAGAACTGAGGTGTGGTGTGTACGGTGTGTGTGTGTGTGTGTGTGTGTGTGTGTGTGTGTGTGTGTGTGTGTGTGTGTGTGTGTGTGTGTGTGTGTGTGTGTGTGTGTGTGTGTGTGTGTGTAATTAAGGGTGGTTCTCTCTTAACATACAGGTGTAAGAGGCTAATGCAAGAGGCTAGCTCCGCCTGCCAAAAGTGAAGCCAACACGGAAGTAACAAAAACTGCAGTTCACAACTCATCCACTAGGGGCTGGACCCAGTAAGGAGCAAGTCTCCACTGACTCCCATGTTAAAAGCCAACGTCACAGCAGAAAGAAAGGTGTTTACAGCCTGGTTCAAAAACATTTTAGGTTTAATAGTAGGGATGGGTACCTTTGACATTTGAATCGATCCGGTACTGATTCCCGGTACATACGAATCGATACCGGTACTTAACGGTACCAATTTTCGATACTTTTGAGTGTTTAATATTTTTAATTCTCTTTTATAATTAAATATATTTTTCTCAATATATAACCATATTTGATAAACATCACGATAAATAACATACAACTGTTTGTATTTTAACATTGTCCTTGTAGTTTTATAAGCTGATAATTAAACTGAAGTAAACATCTTTACTGTGAACTAAATTTACTGTGTATCTTCATTCCTTTTACCGTCTTTTTTCATTAGATTTTTCCTACTGGGAAGTTAGAATTTCCGAGGAGAAAGCGAACGCACCATTAGCTGATAACAATGGTAGCAATGGAAGCTAACTTATCAAGCTAACGTTATCTTAAACCGTTCATTTAGCTGCTGGAGCAGATTAAAACGATGATGCCTCACACTAAGATCGTTGTCGCTGGTTTCGTCTTCACCCAATCACCCGTCGCATTTAGTAAAGTGAAGCCAAACTTTAGAGCAAGTTCATGTTCTTCTAGTCGGAATTTCGGAGTTCCGAGGAGAAAGCGAACGCACCATTAGTGAAACGGAAGCTAACAAATCAAGCTAACGTTATCTTAAACATTTTATTTACCGACTGGAGCAGATTAAGATGAGGATGTCTCACTTAGATCGCTGTCGCTGGTTTCATCATAACCCAGTTACCCATCACATTTAGTGAAGTGGACCCAAGCTTTAGCGTTTGTTCTTTCTACCATGCTGCCCTATTTACAACTCACTCGCAGCCACCGATGACATAACGCTCTTGCGCATGCGCAGCTGTCTAGGCAAGTTCTCGTTGTGAAGGACGGGTACCGAAACGAGGCACCGTTTCTAATGAAGTGAATCGGTGCTCGATCGGTACTATGGAATTCGGTCGGTACCTTAAAAAGTACCGAATTCGGTACCCATCCCTATTTGATATGTTTAGTTTTCCATCCTAACAACTCTGAGGGGAGTGAATATTTTGTAACTCATTGTTTAGATGTGATTAAAACTTGAAATAATGAATACTAAGGTCCTTTTGATTGACAGGAGTGAGATTGGCCGTCAGTGCTAGTGCTAGCGCTAGCAGCTTCGCCCCTGCTAGCAACATGTTAAAAGTGTTACAGCCTAGACGGCAGAGGGTAGCAGTCTCTCAGCTGAGGCTTTCTGGTTAAATGCACCCTCCAAACTTAGTTAGCTTTAGTTAGCTCAGTTAGCTGGTACCTACTTCAGCTCAGAGTTTGATGGGTGCTTATCGTCTGCCCCCACCCTCACTGCCCTGCCAATTTAGTATTTTCTAGGAGATTACCAGACGTGTGGCAAGGCCAAGATGGTGGTGGTAGGAGGCGCCCACTGGGCTTAAATTCAGCTCAAATTCAGGTGACGGTGAGGAGAGTCTGTCCATCTTGTAGGCCCTTTTTACAAGACACACCAATCCAGCAAATCGGCGAAATATTACAGCAACAGTGTGTATTATAAACGCACCATGCCAGCATGGCGATGCGCAAATTTTGCGGCATTCATTCCACATTGCTTGGTAGTAGTATTACGGTAATTGTCTGCCGTAGAAATGTCGATTGCGCCTTGGTGCAGCAGAGAGAGATGTCATGATGACGTAGGGAGGAAATGCCGAGCTCCGGCCCGCTATTATATAGAAAATAAAAGTAAACACGGGCCGTAAGTTTAGCTTTTTGAACAAAATCAGCTGAGACGACAAACTGAAGCGACGCAGAGCTCCAGGAGCTTCTCTCTGTTAGAGCTGGAGCTCAGATCAACAGCGACTGCATGGGGACTGTGGAGAACACCAGCTTGTTAAAAAAAAACGTAACAATCGTTGCTTCAATTGCAATAAAAAGAAAGTTATGCCCAAGATAAACAGAAGTCCACGGCAGTGCAGGGACCGCCCCCATACCCCCTTTATCAAATCAAATCAAATCAACTTTATTTATATAGCACTTTTCATACAAAAAAATGCAACTCAAAGTGCTTTACAGATTAAAATGGCCCCATAGATCCCACATTCCCATCCCAGCCCCCCTCCCCAAGTATAAAACAATTAAAAATTACAGTTCCCCTCCCGCACCCAACTTCCAAAAGTGGACATACAATCACCCGCACACTCGTCCATGCACACACACACACACGCACACACACACACTCGTGAACACCAGAGTAAACAATAGGCTGAGTTCAGATGGGTCAGGTAATGAACGACACATCATCAGCGGCGCCATCTGCCCTGGCAGCAACAGATCCACAGCAGCAGCCAAGACATTTATGCCACCATCGCCTAATCTTTCACATAAAGGACACGAATGCGCCACATTACCGCCACAGTCTGATCACTTATAAACAACCTAAAGCTCTCTGATGTCGCCACAGCGTTGCGGCAAATTGACGGCATTGTTTTGTAAAAACTGCTATGTATACGTTCAATGATTTAATATCGAAATGATTTCATTAATTGTTAATCAGCACACACCTAGTCAAAATACCGTTAACTGTGTGTGTGTGTGTGTGTGTGTGTGTGTGTGTGTGTGTGTGTGTGTACGTGTGACATCATGTACCAGAAATTCCAGCAATCTGTAGGTCCCGTTTACATAGTAGATGACCTCATCCATGTTCTCCACTGGAGCTTTACGAAACTCTTCCACCATGAAGAGAACGTAGATGAGCAGAGTACCGAGGACCTGGTGGAGACACGGGAAGGGTTAGGCTTCTGTTACAAGTCCCTTTGTAACGTGTCTTTTAACTACAGCGTGCTTCTGCTTTACCTGTAGAGAGGTCAGAATTGAAGATGAGATGATGATGAGAAGCCAGAAGTCCATATGGAAAAACTGGCAAATCATATAAGACATGTAGGCTGGAAAGATCAGCAGGAAGAGACACAGGGACACAGCTCGGAAGTGCTTCCACAAACTCCTACAAAACCAGCGGGAAGGAGGAGAAAAAGGAGAACGCAATCAGATTCTGACTTTTTACGATTAATCATTCAGTCGGGTTATTAGTCCTTACTTGTCTCTGGAAGCCCCCAGGGCAAGAACTATAGGGTCAGCGATCTCCAACATGGACTGGAGAATGGAGGCAACAACGATGAAGAGGATGATGGAAAGTAGAAAGGCTCGGTGGATGACCTGAAGCTCTATCAGACCGGTTTGCACAGCAAGGATAAGCAGGGTGATGCCTTCGGTCATTCCTCTGCAAACAACAGATCATAAAATTAAACACACACTCTGACAGACCCCTCAGACAAGAGAACCGTGGTGTAACCTACCTGTGCATGGTGTTGTCATTCATAAAGGCTCTGTAGCCTTGCAAGTAGAACTTGCAGAGCGTGAGAACTCCCAGAGCGATGAAGGAGACGGTGAAAACCAGACCCAGGAGAGAGTACGGCGTACTACAACACTCTGCAATACTGAGTAAAGAGATAGGAGAGGAGAGGAGAGGAGACTGAACGCTGGATGCAAGAACGGGCGGCTAACGTGTTGTAGCTTCAACGATCACAGTAACCAGACAACACTATTGTAGTTTGACTGAATATAAACATGTTAACTAGAGATTTCCAGGGATTAGATGTGACATCAGTGGGTTTTTAACCAAATGGCTTAAAGGAACTGGCCAGAAGGAAATGTCCTTTCAATCAGGTGTGTAAAAATAGTTCGAAGCTCCACTGACCCCCCCAAAAAATTAGGATTTTAAGAAAATATGATGTTTTTAAAGAGTGCAGCAAAAAATTTAATAGTTTTGGGTTCTTGGCGCTACGCAGCTGCTTGCATCAAACAGGGGCGTTGCCTCAGAAAACCTTTGTAAACACGGTTAGCGTTACGACAGTTGATGATGCTTAATCAGATATCGGTGTAGCATCTGAAACTTCTGCTAGTTGGTTAGATTTTCTCTGTAATACGATTCCGACGAGGAAATGGAATGAGTAACGGAGAGTTGCGATGACGTGAGGCTGACTCCGATGAACTGCGAGCAGATCTGAACGCTGATAGCAAAGCCAATTCAGAACCTAAATCGGTACGTTTACTTTTATTGCCTTTTGCTTGTAGCGCTCGTAGGTGCACTCCCACCAGCTGCACCACGGCTAACCGTGGCACTGTAGTCGCGATTGCTTGGCTTGTTGCTTTCAGCAGTGATCTAGGAGGTTGCCGCTGTTTCACTGATCCCAGGAGGATGCATCTGTAGTTCGTCTTATAGCTCCAACCTTTGAGAATTTTCCACTGACCAGGCTCTGTGGTTTGTGTTGCGATCTGTCTGAAAATGCTCAATGTAGATCTGTGCTGATGAAATGATGCCCTCTGAGTTCACTCGTGTCCTCTTAACAAACCGTTTCCATGCCTTTAATGTTGCATATGGCTCAGACTTTTTGCTGCAACCGTAAAGAACGCAAATATAAAACCAAAACGGTTAAACAGCTAGTCAACGTCGACAGAGGCATCTTTGAGTAGCGCCCGTGCTCAAAAACGCCGACCCCTCTCAATACATCATCGAGTAATATTTGCAGCACACACTTCCTTTCTGTTTAGAGAGAATTTAGACCTTTTTTTTAATAATGATTTATGACAAAATTGCTCAAAACTGAAGTCAGTTTACTTTTCAACAGTTGGTAAAGTGTAGCTAGATTGAATTTCTGTGACTTTGATGCTCAGTCTGGCCAGAGGCTTTAAAACAAACCTAGGTTTCTATAATTGAATTAATCATCTCCTATTAACAAACTAAACTCAAAACAGAAATGAATAAGACTTTGAAGCACTGAGCAACCTTCTCTCACATGCGTTTTGTACTTTCTACACAAAGCCTGCGATACTTGACCTTTAATGCTGCTGACATAGCTAAGGCAACTATTCCACCATTATCATATCTGCACTTATGTTCTAAGGAGGTTCCACAAAGTGTACAATACGCCTCCCTAACGTTATCACCTTACCTCGTGAGAAAGAGAAAGAGGAGCCTCTCCCTGGAGGTGGGCTGGTCTCTGGTGCTGAAATAGGTGTAGATCTGCAGAGCGAACAGCACCAGCCAGAAACACATGAAGAGAACCGGAAGAACCAGCTGGTTCCACAGAGACATGCCTAGAGCCAGCAGGCCGTACACTTCCACCACCTGTGTGAAGATGGTGGTAATGAGGTCAGTCACAAACATCTATTGAAACAACGTGTAAGGAGATATGTCTGAGCACCTCTAGATAAAAACAGAAATGTACTTACTTGAGCCAGCTCTCTGTAGGCAGTCTTAGCCAGGTTATACGGTACCAGTAAGTTAGTAGCCAGGAAGTAAATGACCTCCAGGCCTGTAAAGATCATAGAGAACCTATTGATGAAGACAATGGTCTCCAGGGGGACCAGACAGAGTCTAGCCCCCAGAGGGAGGAGATGAGCAGAGAAAAGCCAGATCCTCTTTGTCTGCATCACACAGGAACACAGCGTGCACACCACCAGCTGACCTGGAAGGCAAACATGGAATTCAGCAAGGTCATCAGAATACATGCAGTTTTATTGTTGCATAGGTGACAATCAAATATTCATCAAATTATGAATCCACCCCAGGGTGGCGATTGCTGGTTGACCACTGATGGGAAACAGAAGCGTAGCCCCTCTTTAAAACATCTTTTTGTACCACCGCCATTTTTTTTCTTCTGCTTTCTCAGGTTTTCTCTGAGCAGGAATCAGCACTCAGTTCTATTTATAGCACAGGAGACTCCATTCCTCCTGTCCAGTAAGCTGAAATCAGGTCTCATAATGCGGAAACTCTAACACTTCCCACTTTCACCCATCCTATTTTCATCCGGTGTGCCAGCGGGCCTTTGGACATCGTTTGTGGTACACTGGCGTGTGTTGGTTTACCGATGAGTGCCATGGTGAATCTGCTCATGGAGAGAGGCTCCAGGTAGACCGGTCCTTCGTAGCCTGAATCCAGTTCACTGCGAACATAATCCCTGACAAGAGAGGTCACACAGAGGCAATCATATTGGAAGTTCTTACGGAACGCCCCAAAATGTCCAAAGCTTTGTCTTCGTCAACTAGAACAGGAGAAACTTAAGACTAGTGAATAAATGATCTGATAAAAAAAATAAAAAACCCAATGCTTGGTGTGTACATTTACCAAAATAAAAGCAGGCTTTTGAAGGAGGGAACATTAGAGTGTGTGTTAATACCTCGAGACTTGATGACCAGCAAACAGCAGCAGGGCCGTGACAACATACAGGTAGAGTTTAACCAGATGCTGACGAGGCAGAGTCAGAAGCACCAAGCTCAGGATGTAACCTGCCAGGCGGCCACACACAAAGTTAAAACAGGAACTACAAAGCTGTGTGCTTCCTGCTTCCAGATCACACTTTAATATTTTCTCTTTGTATGACACGTTTCTCTGTCATCCATCAGTCATACAAATCCCTGAAACAGCAGCCGTAACCTTCTAGAAGCTAAAACTCTTTTCAGCTCAGCAACAGTTCCACCAGTCCACCCACTGAGCCCATCAACACATACCAGACCTATTAGCTCAGTCACAACATGCAGCCAAGTTTGGTTAAACACAAGGCCACATAAAAACAGTTCCTGGTGGTTCCCTTTTAGCTACATCGTGTGAGTGAACGTGGCTTTATTACATGAATCTAGAGCTGATTAAGTCTTTTTTAAATGTCTTGGGTTTGCATCAACACCTGTGGAGAATAACGCCAGGGTTGAACCCAAAACAGAAAGTTAGCACACACTGGTCTTTAAAAGGAACTCCAGCTATGAGGACGTGGATGCCCTAATGAGCCACAAGTTTTCTATTGTACCAAACTGTTGTTAGAAACACACAAAATATAGCCATTTATTTATAAATCTATAACATTTAGAACATTTTTTGACATACGTAGGACGCCATGTTTTCCGCACGCAATGCACTCTGAGGGCGATGACGTATACTGGTTGCACTTGGAGGAATAGCTTATTGACGCTAGTGTTTGTTTACGCGCTCACCGTATTAATAGTCAAGTAAAATGCTGCATTGTGCTGCTTTTGGATGCAATTTCCAGTCAGAGGGTAACAAGGGGAGTGATGTGAGTTTACACAGCTTTCCCACTGGCAAGAAGAGGAGAAAGCAGTGGGAAGATGCCTGTGGACGGACACAACTTCCCAAAGATCCACGGCTGTGTTCCCAACATTTTTCTCCTGATGCGTTTGAGGCTTATAGTCGACCACAACTACTTAACGAGCTCACCAGAGCGGCTGGGTATAAGAGAAGGCGGAAACTAAATGCTTTACCGACCATTTTCCCACACAAGGAGCCTAAACGCCCTCGGAGAGGGCTGGATGCTCTCCTGAGCCGACAAACACTCCTGCAGCTGCCGCTTCTGTCACGTTCAGCGAACCATCGGACACACCACTCGTCACGGGTGAAGCCGAACATTCTCCTCTCCCGTCAGTAAAACAAGCAGTAAGTGTAGCAGTACAGTGCTCTCCAAATATCTAATATCTGCAATAGTGTTGTCAAAAAAATCGATACCTAGACATAAATCGATACTAAAACTGGTATCTAAATTAGATATTCCATCCCTGTGGTATCGATATTATGGACTATTATACACAGCCTTCTTCAAGTACACTGACACGCACGACAGCCAGATGCCGTAAATAAACAAAAACATAAACAGCGAATTTGGGAGGCGCTTCACAGCCCAACTTAGTTAGCATACAAAGTCCGACACGTAGTTGTATATTCACGCTTATGTGCTTAAAGGAAAACTCCCGTTTATTGCAACCTGGACTTAATTTCTAGCATGCAGTACGTTTGTTTACTCACGCTGACAACTTTGGTGCTACTTGGATTCCCCGGGGTATTTAGATCCATCGGCGAATCGCCATCAGTGTATATCCATATAACGGGTGTGGACGGGCACCCATGGTGCAGCCTCGAAATAAGACATTATCTGCACCAAAACATCTTCATGTCGAAAGGTTTTGTTAGGAATCATTAACGTGATTCCCCAGTTCGTTTGGAGCAGGTCTGGGATTTCTAGGCGTAAACAGACTAGCTGCGGCTAATCTAACCGGCGCTTTTAATGACGCCACTGCCGTGCGCCAGTCTGTTTTTATTAAGATTACCGGTAGATGTACCTTTGTCCTACTGTGGAGAAATTCATTTTCTCCCTTTATTGACCAACAGAGTTGTTCAAAAGTACAGAACAAAACATATGGCATTACATCTTATGACAAAAATGCACCTTAAACAGAGTTTAAGCAGCAAAACATCACTCTGCAAATAGTGTATATATAGTGAGACAATTCATGATTTAAAGTGTTAACTTTCGCCAGTTTTTGTATGGACGTTTTAAAAAATGCTGATGCTTGAAAGGTTTAAGCACTTAATACACTTAATTCTTAACATTTAATTTTTGCAATATAAATTGAGGAATGTTATTTTTTGAATAAACTTGTTCAATAAATTGGTGTTTTTAAATAGCATCGAAATCGAGTATCGAGTTTTTGTCCAGTATCGAATCGATTTTGAAATTTTAGTATCGTGACAACTCTAATCTGCAACAATGATTAAAGTGGTTTCACTGAATATTCTAATCATCTATAAAGCACACGACAACTCTGGATGCTAAAATTCTCCAAAATCATTCATAATTGAATAAGTTTAATCACACGATAGCTTACCGTTAACTTCTGCTGACAAAAATGTGAGCTCTTGACAACAAACACTCTCTCTCGGTTACCACTGAGAAGCATTTGCCGCAGAAGCACCACAGGTTTTGTCCTGCTCTCGCCTCATCCCGCCCTTCTTGCTCTTCATGTTGATGCTCGTTTTGTGAAACATGGTCAGTGATGTCCTCATTAATGTTTCACTCTGGTTCAAATTGAAAAGGCTGAACAGATGACATGTTGATGTCGCTGAACAGTCACTACAGGGTCCCAAAGCCAGTCGGTGCAACCGAGGTACAACCATATGACGTCACTGCCCAGAGTGCATTGCGAGGCTAGCAACAATGGTGACCTATGAGTTAAACTATTTTTACAAATTTTATAAAAATGAAGACATCAAGAAGGTTTTTTTTTACACCATTTTAAGATAATTGATACTAACATTTATCTTTTAAGAACCACAAGGTTTTGTAACCTGGGTTCCTTTTAAGCTATGCTTGGCTGCTTGTCAGGTTTGTGTTTTGATCACTAAAGCGCCTAAAGAACTGGTGCTCAGGCCAGTATTAAACCAGTATGTCTTTGGGCCGTGAGTCTGGGCAACTAATCACAAACAGTGAGACGATTTTCTACATTTCATCTGGAAATACACTGAATTGAAACATATGATATTTTTGCATATAGCAAAACTGTCACTGTTGCAAGAAATTCTTGTAAATGTTTTATTTTAATTGCCTGAATCCTTTACTCTCTTACTCGGAATGGCTCTTTTTTTGTTTTGTTTCACATGATGCCAAACTCTCCCACAGAAGTCTTAACACGTTCTACAGAAACTACATAGAGAATGCTTCCTGATTCCCTAAGAATTAGGGATGCTCCTTGTCCAATCACGTGATCAGATGAGGTGATTTTGAAAGGATCTGGGATCGGGTGGAAATGATTGGCTGTAACCTTAGTAAACAAAAAGAATGCTCTCTTAATCTCATCCTGAGGTTCTCAAATGTAATAGCAACGACTGTTTAACAAGTTCTTCTGCATCAACATTTATTGATGCATTGAAAATTAAGTAACTTGGACTCAAATTGGGGGCCTAAAAATGTGATCGAAACATCTCTATCTAGAATACAGTTAAGTATTTAAAGGATATTTTCTTTGCAAATGTTTTTGATGCATGTTTGAAATTCAAGTCACACAAACTGGTGCCTAAGTAAGCAAACCGAGAGAACCCTCATTTATAACTTCTAGTAACTTACTTGCTAAACTTTTTGTTTGTTACCAACATCTACAGCCCATTGAACAGCTGGATTAAAAGTTGTACCACTCTGTACCAGTCCTGTGTAAAGGTTTCTCAATTCAAACTCAAAGCAGCAGCTCAAATAAATGAGCTCAGCATAACAGATTTTTCTGTGAGCATTTATGCTAGAACCAGTCAAGAGCACCGACATAAATGAGGATAATCTGTCAAATCTCTTTAAAACCATGTAAAATATGGTGCAAAAGCAGAAAATAATATACTTCTTTATTTACAGGATGATAATATGGAAAAAAGTTTGTTTTCTGCACTCACCAACATAGTGCAGGTAGAGTGCCAGATACTTGTACTGAAAGAGCGGATTGTTGGAAAGGCTGGAACGTTGGATCTTCTGGAAGAAGGAGCTTACATCCCAGCGGTACAGGACATCCAGCAGCATGATGCTGGGAACGCGCAGACCCACGTTGAGCACGGCTTCTACGCGGTCCTTCACTGCCATGGCTTCAGGTTAACCTCTGAGCAGCAGGCAGAACTGACCACTAAGACGAGATGCTGACTCTGGATCCTCTGAGGACAAAACTAAAGAAAAAGAAATGTAATAAGACAGTGACAGAAAACGAGGGAAAGAATTAATGATAAAAACAAGCAATAACAAAAGAAGTGGATTAATGCAGGTCACAGAAAGCCACAGAGAGTGTAATCGAATAAAACACAGCAGAAAATGGTTTTATTGTTCTAATCTTTTACCAGGGCTCAGGACTGTAAAGGTTCACTTTAAGGCCAAAGGTGTAACAAAGAAAAATTGAAGCTGCAAGCAGCGTCGTTCGGCCCTCGCAGCTCCGCGTCGCTCCGACCTGGCCGGCAGCCCGGTGCACCCGATCACGTCCGCGGAACATAAACGTCGACCACCCCAACAGCAGAAACCGCAAACGGTCTCCTCATCCGCACCTCACCCTGACTCAGCATCTCCTCTGAGCCCACCAATAAATTACCCATCTCACCACTGGGGCATACTCTATCTTTACCACATTGGTGGTGTAATGACACAGACCAAGTTTAAGTCTATTCTGACCACGTTTTTTGAAGTTATTGAAGGTTAAAGTTATCTAGGGGGCGCTGTGACCAATTACAGAAAAATCCCATTGAGGTCAGCTTTGGTTGACAAAGGTGGTTTTCTGTAATTTTGGCATAAATCAGACGTTGTGTGTGTTAACTAGTGCCAGAGAGCCGAAAGGGGGTGGAGCTAAAGGGGTTTGAACCAACAACCCCAATCAATCTGTTTGGTGCAGTCATGTGATGACACAAGCCAAGTATAAGGCCATTCTGACCTGAACCTATCTAGGGGGCGCTGTGACCATTTACAACTAAATCCCATAGAGGTCATCTTTTGTCATCAAAGATGGTGTTCTATTAATTTGGCATCAATCATACGTTGCATGGGTTATCTAGAGCCAAAAGGCTGTAAGTGGGCGGAGTTAAAGTGATTTGAACGAGTGAGCACATACATGTGTTGAATGCAGTTGTGTGATAACTCCCACCATTTTTGATATAGTTTGGAGCTTTTTTGCAGAAGTTACAAAGGTTTTATTGTATGTAGATGGCGCTGTCCCAAATGTAGGAAAATAGCACATGGAGCAGTTTGTAGGTTCACAACAATCATTTGCATGTAGTTTGGTGTGAATTGCATTATGCATGTGTTATTCAGGGCCTAATGTCTGTCAGGGGGCGGAGCTAAAGTGATATCAACCAATGACCAAAGGATTGTGTTGGGTGCCTTTGTGTGATGACACATAGCAAGTTTGGTGCAGTTGCGACCTCGTCTGTAGGAGTTATTACAGTTTGAAAGGTATGTAGGGGGCGCCGTGGTGATATTATGCAACATTCACCAACCGTTTGTGCCTCATGCTAAAGGGCAGTACTGTTGATTGCCATGTTCAGTCTCGTGCAGATCGGAGGCTGTTTGTGGAAGTTACAATCAAACGAAAGGTCACGGTGTCATGCCAGAATTCGCCGTGGCATCAAAGCCCCTCCCTTTCTGGAAAGCTATCAGAATTGAATAGTTGTTACAGCATCATGAAGACAGTGCATGACCTTAGTGTCATGGTGACTAAATTAGAGGGGACAAATATGGGCGTTTCACCATAAAACAATAGACTTCCTATTGTCAGGGGGCGGGGCTTCAGTAATGTCAGCTGTCCACATTGTCATTGTCTTGAGATGTGGTCAGTGATCAAAAAGACAATGTTTGATATTGATCTGATCATGCACATGGGAGTTATTACATCAAGCAATGTAATGGCGAAAGGTCAACGTTTGAGGCTTAGCCACGCCCACACCTTTCAACTTTTGAAAAATCCCACTGTTGAATTTTTTCCCCTTTGTCTTAAGAATTTAAAGCAGAAGTTTGAAGGCGATTGGTGAAAAGGGCGATGGGGCATCACTCTCCAAACAAAGTGTGCGAAAACCACTAAATCGTAGTCTGGCAAGCCAGACTAAATAAATGTATTATTTAGTCTGGCAACACTCCATTGACGGCTCTCGGTTGTGGGGCGGGTTCTACCATTGTCTTTCAAATGATCTCCGCATGCTACTGGACAATGAATGTGACATACTCTTGTTTCACTCTGTTGAATTATCCCACCCACCAGGCATATAGAGTGCCCTGATTGGCCCACAAAGCGGATAAAGCTCTGTGATTTGTTCACTAAGCGCAGGTAGAGCACTATGATTGGCCCACCATTATGGACTACTCACAGCTCTTTATGTGTTTGAAACCCCTCTAGGGAGCTGTGATTGGCCAGCCAGAATGCTGTTGGGGCTGCAGAGGTTCCAGTGGAGCGTTGCTAGACCAAACTTTGCGAAGCAAGAATTTGGTCTAGTTCACTACGCTAACTAAATCGAGTACTTGGACCAAAATGGCCAACTTCCTGTGCGACATTGACCTTGGCTCCAAGAGACTTTTTAGTAGGTCCCAAGGCACTACATTAGTGTACCAAATTTCGTAGTTCTCAGATAAAGCACGGCTTGGGGCTGACAGTTTTAATGGTCCTAGGGGGTGCAATTTCAGAAAAAAGGCCACACTCACAAACCTATCATGTCCATTTCTATTGGTGGTCAGACTAGGATCACTCATCAGAGATTTCGTAGCGATATCACGATAACTGAAGAAATGAGAGGCAAATGTATTTCCATGGCGTGATGGTGAATTTCGCCATGCTCCCAAAGCCCCGCCTTTTTTCGAAACCTGCCAGTACTGGAGACCAAGTGACCTCAACTTGTCTACTACTATTTGCCAGAGATTGCTGGTGATTGGGTGAAATGAGTCCAATAGGGAGCTGTGAAGGGAGCTGTGTGGCTCCATGAGACTTTTTTGTAGGTCCTGAGACACTACATTAATGTACCAAATTTCGTAATGCTCAGTGAAAGCATGGCTTGGGGCTGACAGTTTTAATGGTCTTAGGGGGCGCTATTTAAAAAAATAGGCCACGCCCACCAGATTTTCACATCAGATTTTTTGGGGGGCCAGACTAGGATCGCTCACCAGAAGTTTTGTGGCAATATCTTTAGAAATGACGAAATGGGAGTCAAACTTATGGCCACGGCAGTACGCCTGACTTCGCTGCACCACCACAGCCCCACCCTCTTTTGAAAACTCCCATTAAGTGATGCCAAGCAACCCCTCTTGCCTTGAGTTACCAGCTACAAATTTGTGGTGATTAAGTGAAATGGGGCGATTTGGGACCGATCACAGTAAAACGTGACCTTTTTGGTCCTGAGGGGGCAGGGCTTGTGCGATGTCATCATCCAACCATTAACTTTTATTTGAGGCCGGATGCTGAATGACCACAGAAGTTTTTGTAACTCTATTTGGTTATGAACTTATAGCCATTTACAGGTGCTGGCCAGTAAATTAGAATATCATCAAAAGGTTGAAAATATTTCAGTAATTCCATTCAAAACGTGAAACTTGTACATTATATTCATGCAATGCACACAGACCAATGTATTTCCAATGTTCATTACATTTAAATTTGATATTCATAAGTGACAACTAATGAAAACTCCAAATTTGGTATCTCAAAAAATTAGAATATTCTGAAAAGGCTGAATATAGAAGACACCTGCTGCCACTCTAATCAGCTGATTTACTCAAAACACCTGCAAAGGCCTTTAAAAGGTCCCTCAGTCTTGTTTTGAAGGCACCACAATCATGGGGAAGACTTCTGACTTAACAGCTGTCCAAAAGACAATCATTGACACCTTGCACAAGGAGGGCAAGACACAAAAGGTGATTGCTAAAGAAGCTGGCTGTTCGCAGAGCTCTGTGTCCAAGCACATTAACAGACAGGCGAAGGGACGGAAAAAATGTGGTAGAAAAAAGTGTACAAGCTCTAGGGATAACCGCACCCTGCAGAGAATTGTGACGACAAACCCATTAAAAAATGTGGGGGAGATCCACAAAGAGTGGACTGCAGCTGGAGTCAGCGCTTCAAGAACCACCACGAGGAGACTCATGAAAGACATGGGATTCAGGTGTCGCATTCCGTGTGTCAAGCCACTCCTGAACAAGAAACAGCGCAAGAAGCGTCTCGCCTGGGCCAAGGACAAAAAGGACTGGACTGATGCTGAGTGGTCCAAAGTTATGTTTTCTGATGAAAGCAAGTTCTGCATTTCCTTTGGAAATCAAGGACCCAGAGTCTGGAGGAAGAGCGGAGAAGCACAGAATCCACGTTGCATGAGGTCCAGTGTAAAGTTTCCACCGTCAGTGATGGTGTGGGGTGCCATGTCATCTGCCGGTGTTGGCCCACTCTGTTTCCTGAGGTCCAGGGTCAATGCAGCCGTCTACCAGGAAGTTTTAGAGCACTTCATGCTTCCTGCTGCTGACCAACTTTATGGGGATGCAGACTTCACCTTTCAACAGGACTTGGCACCTGCACACAGTGCCAAAACCACCAGCACCTGGTTCAAGGACCATGGTATCCCTGTCCTTGATTGGCCAGCAAACTCGCCTGACCTTAACCCCATAGAAAATCTATGGGGTATTGTGAAGCGGAGGATGCAATACGCTAGACCCAACAATGCAGAGGAGCTGAAGACGACTTATCAGAGCAACCTGGGCTCTCATAACACCTGAGCAGTGCCACAGACTGATCGAGTCCATGCCACGCCGCATTACTGCAGTTATTGAGGCAAAAGGAGCCCCGACTAAGTATTGAGTGCTATACATGCACATTCTTTTCATGTTCATTCTTTTCAGTTGGCCAACATTAGAGAAACAAACATTTTTTCATTGGCCTTTAGAATATTCTAATTTTCTGAGATACCAGATTTGATGTTTTCATTGGTTGTCACCTATAAATATCAAAATTAAACGTAATAAACATCGGAAATACATTGGTCTGTGTGCATTGCATGAATATAATGTACAAGTTTCACGTTTTGAATGGAATTACTGAAATATTTTCAACCTTTTGATGATATTCTAATTTACTGGCCAGCACCTGTATATTGTTTTGGCGAGTAGTCGAACTTCGAGGCCTGGCCACGCCACCTCAGCATATACGAAAAGTCAGTTTTGGCCATCCCTTCTGATCAATTTCACACAAATGTCGAGACGATCGTGCAAAAAATGATCGAGTAAATCAATCAGAAGCAGACCCTAAAAGCGGCCAAAATGGATAAAAATCGCCATTTCAACCCAAAATGGCCGACTTCCTGTTTGATGTTGACCATGGTTGCAAGAGGCTTTTCTGTGCGGACTGTTGAGTACTACAAGTGTACAAAATTTCATAACTGTATGACAAACTAAGGTTTATGGAGGGAGGTAATTTTTACATTCTAGGGGGCGCTGTGGAGCTAGCTTTATTGCAATTTTTTTGGGACCTTTAAAATACAAAATTTTACACCATGCCTGACAAGTGTGCAAAATTCCTGAGTTTTCGGGTATGTTAAGGCCTCCAAAGAGCCAATTTACTTGACGGAAGAAAAATAAACAGAGCAGATACAATAGGTCTTCGCAGCGCTTTCGCAGCTCGGGCCTAATGGGTTGATTTCATTGTATACATTGTGTCATACTGTCTTGTGCTTTTACAATCTATAAAGAGAAAGCTACAATTAGGGTTAGGGTCAGCAGGTGTGTGTAGAAGAATTTCAAAGGCAGAAATTAGCTGATCAGTCTGCAGAAGGAAGGAAATGATTATAAAATCTAGGGCGTCCAAAGCATGGTACAGAACAGAACAAATGGCCTTCGAGTTTATTAATTTTGAAGCAACATCCAGCTGGTCAGACACAACTGACTTTCAAAACATTTCACAGAAATATCACGCAAGTACTTTACCCACAAGTATATACTTTTCATGGCTAAAAATAATCAGTCTACGTGTCAACGACTGTAAAGCTTCCTGTTTCTGCCTCCCACACATACAGTAACAAATGATAAATGGCCTGTATTTGTATAGCACCTTCAGATATACCTTTGGATTTCCATTAAATATGTGCAGCAATGACCAATATTAAAAGTTCCAAACCAGGCTATTTAAACCTTTGAGAGCAAAGGGACAGTATGAAGTTTAAATCCCATTGGTCATCACACACTGGTGAAATTCATCTCTGCCTTTGACCCATCCCTGTCGGGAGCGATGAGCTGCAGCTGTGGCTGAGGGGTTGCCGTGTCTCCTGTGAGCTAATACTGCATTGTAGCTAATACTGCACTGTAATTTGACGACGGCCGGCAAAAAGCTCCAGAGTTGTTTAAAGTGGCTGCAGTAACCAAATTTTACCACAGGATGTCATTTTCCCTTCATTTCTACATAATGCACCTTTAAATACAAGTTACTTTCATCAACCTAAATTCATACCTGGAAGTTAAACTGTTTATTTCAGTGAAAGTCCACCCACGCCCGCTCCAACAACATGTGTCTACAATGGTGTCTTAGGTGAGGCAGTTGCTGTAATGTTATGGTAGTCCAGTGGTTAAGGTGTCTGCCTGAAGACTTTAACCTCTGGACTACCAAGTCAGTTAAAACAATGGTCACCAAAGCTTCAGGTCATGAGCTGGCCAGCCGAGACAGGTTTCAGAACCCAGACCAGATTCGGAGGAAGAGCTGGGTGTGGTGTTGGGAGGAGGAAGGCAGTACTGTGTTCAGCTTTTCCATTTGGGCTTTTTAGGAATTTCAAAATAAAATTCTAACTTTGCAGCTGAAACAGAAAGATGCAAGAATGCAGCCAAAAATTGGTTTGGCAGTATTTTCATGAGGAAACAACAATATTACCTGCTAAAACAGTGGATTTCCTATAATATGCCATACATGGTGATTATTTGCCTTTTCAAGATGAAGTGAATGGATTGTTTTTGTTTGGTTAGACTAGTCACAATGCTCGTTATTCCCCCAAAAGACATTTATTTTAACCAAAATTAGTGTAAATGTTTCCTTATTGTTTTTTTTCTGCTTAAACTTTTATCATCACACTGCAGGTAAAACACTGAAGCAAAAAATAATGTCAATATACTCAATCTGAGATACAAGTTTTACTGAGTTCTCTCAAAATTAGACTTAAGTGACGCTTATGTTTTTTCCATAAACTCCTAAAAGTCTCCAGATTTTTCCCCAATGCGCTTCATGGCTTACTGTCTCTCCATTTTCCATTATCCTTGCAGCACCGGGACAGGATCCTAAGAAGTTACATAACAGAATTCAGTGGACAGAGCTTGCTTCCTACCTTATGTAACACGACTAACTGTATTTTTATCAGTCTCCATCCATTCAACACTCAATGTTTATGTTTAATTTGAATGGTCTATTTTTGTCTAGTTTCACTTTACTCAGTTCAAAACAAAAACAACCTTTATTTTTGAATAATTTTTTCAACATTTATTGCGAAGAGTTCAAATTCATATCAGTCTTCTACATCTGATGCATGTTGTGCATGGTTCACATTATGAATACAAATCTTTTTTGACAGTCGGTACATGTTTTCTAATTTCTAATAATCTAAAATAGTTACATGCATCACAACTTAAATTAAATCAAACTAATACTAACAGATGGATTAAATACAGAAAAGTCTCAATGTAACCAGTCATGTTTTACATTATTTTCTATTTTAATGGAAAAAAATCTGGTTTTGCTAAATGAAAACTAACGTTTAGACTTTATGGGCACAGGGGATATTGTTGCATTAGTGAGTGCTGCGTCTCTTGCTATGAACTCTAGTAACCCCTCAGTCTCGACGGGGGAAAAAAATAGCCCCGCCGCAAAAAAGAAAGCAACACTTGAGTACCTCAGTGCGTTTGTTTCAAAGTAAAAAGGACAAAACAACTTGCAGCTTGAACACTCGTGGTTGACCGGTGAAGTTGTAAATGCGAAGGGGATAAAAACAGACAGCAGTGACGGTGTGTACGTGCTCTGTGGAGGTGATGAGCTGCATCGGCTGAGCAGGCAGCTGGCGCAGTGGCAACAATTTAAGCTAACGTTTTCACATAACGCTGTCACTTAGGCAAATTACTAAAGCAAACCCAGCATCCCGACGGGTTGTCCCTGGCCCACGAACATTTTACACACACGCTCATTTAGATTATTAGAGTAAAATCACACTGCTCTCGATCGTGAGAGCGGAGCTAACATGCGGCGGACAGCTAGTTGTTGTTATGCTGGTTCAAGATTTAATGGAAAAAACGAGGACTTACTTTTTCAAGGACGATGTTCGCAGTTATGAAAAAGGGTTTCTGGCTGCCAGTTGGATCGTGTGTGGACCATTTTAGCTCGGCACCGCCCGAAATAACGGTCCTCTGAATGGGTGTGCTTCACAGCGAAAAGAAGCGACCCAACCGCGCATCTTTCCTGGCAGCCATTAACCGGAGTCCCGGAGACGTCATTTGGAATCGTAGGATGTCCAAGGACGATCCTGCCTATCTCGCCTCTGATTGGCTAGAGGGTTCTACTACGATTGGCTACTTCATTTGGCAGCAAACCGTCTGCTCTATAGTCATACTTATAAAGGAAAATGTGGACTTAGCGCTATAATATCCATTCTGTCCTGTTTTGCAAAATACATTTATGTTCCTTTTATTTAAAAATAAAAAAGGTAAAATGTGAACTTGTAAAAAATCTTGTTGCATGTATCACACTGTTGAAATCTCTTGGCTCTCAAGCTCTGAGGTTAAAGCGGAGTAATTAGGATAAACGTGTGTGCCTTACTAGGTATGAAATATAATCAAACTTCCCTATTTTGTCCAGCCGTGTGCAGCAGGTCTGTTTCTCTTCTAGAATATTAAACATTTCTGGAAAAAAAGGTCAAAATAGGCTTTTAATTAAATTTAGATTACATGCTACACATTTAAGCAGATGCCGAGAGGCAGCTTTAACCTATTAAAGTGTAGACTTAAGATAGCCATAATACAACCCCAGTAGAGCCAACAGATATAAAGTCAGTATAACAGTGTGGTTACAGGCTACCATTTTTCAGGTTCTTTTATTATTAAAAAAACCTGAAACTGGTATGTAGCAAAACAGGGCAGAATGGATATTATAGCGATGAGTTCACATTTTCTTCAAAAAACTCATCAAGATCTGGCTGTAAACATAAAAACCCTGCAGCGAGAGAAAACGGTTTCATCTTAGATGAAATTGCCAGTCCAGGGAGAACCCTTCCAACCAATCAGAGGCGAGAAAGGTCGGACCTTCCTTGGACATCCTACGATTCCAAATAACTCCTCCAGAGGCAGCACTGAGCATGCGCAAACCCTCGCTCCGCTAGGTCTCGTACTTTCCCCTTAAATAGAGTTCAGAGTTTTATACTGTTGAGAATTGTGATTAAATGTGCTGCTATTTAGGGTTAAATCACTAATAAGTTGTTAAGGCTATTCAGGGAACTGCGCTTGTGGGATTTATCAGGGCTGCATTATTAACAGCATTCTGATTTGTTCAAGTTTTGCTTTACAAAATTATATTTTTCCCTTCAACGCTGTTTGTATAAATATTAGGTCAGTTTAACGACAGACATATGAATAAAGAAAGCGAACTCAGCAGTCCTCTGTAAAGTATATCCGGTTTGCGCTTCTGTGTGGTCTGCGCATGCGTGAAGAAAATACATTTTCACATGTTTATCCTCATTTGAACGTGTATTAGGTATAGGCGTTTAGAAAAACCTTGTATTTCCATTTGGTAATACTAGTCTAAACATAATCTTACTTTGTTTTACTTATTAAATGTTTTTTATATTAATTTTATTTATTTGAATTATTGTATATAAATTTTAAAGTCTCAAAAGCAATGAGGGTGAAAACCTGGTATAAATTGTCCTTTTAGTTTACTTGGCATCTGTACTACAAAGCAGCTTACCACTACCAGAGTTGTGAATGAACAATAGATTCTCTGTAGAGGTTCCTTGAAAACCTTGAAACCTTCATTGAAAACACTAGAATCAGTTTTGTTATTATTATGTTGATTTGAGGAAAATACATTTGCTGTAATATAATCAAATACCCAAAAAGGGCAACAGATGTCCCTAACAGATGCCAAACAGAGAAATTACACATTATCGTTTAGAATAGAGTAGAATAGAATAGACTTTATTAATCTCACAGTGGGGAAATTCAGTTGTTACAGCGGCACCATCACTTCAGAGAATAATTTGAAGAAAAATAATAACAAAGGTACATGTATATACACATAGGCAGCAAGCTATATTGTAAACTTCGCCCACTAAAAACCACGAATAAAAATGAAAAACTTGGTTTCCAGAACTATGCAGCATACTGTAAGAGACACAGACATACTATCTGGTATTGCACAAGAACACATACTGAGCACTGCATCGGTGTTATTGTGTACCAGGATAATGCCAGTACAACCTAACTGAGGAGTTATATATTCTTACCGCAGAGGGGATGAATGACCTACAGCAGAATTCTGTTTTACATCTGGGATGTCTCAGTCTGCCTCTGAAAAAGCTATCCATGGTCTCCACAGTGGAATGTAGTTGGTGGGAGTTTTTTTAAGATGGAGGTCATCTTCCCCAGCATCCTCCTTTCACACGTCTTCTCAACTGAGTCCAGTGAGCAGCCCAGAACCGAGCTAGTTTTGCTAACTAGCTTCTTCAGTCTCTTCCTGGCATCCTCCACCCCCATGTTTGGTTTAAATGCAAATTGCAGTGGGTCTATTTTTGGGCACACCACTAATCGTAAATGGGTGAGGAGGAGTCGCTCCATTGTCTTCATTAGATGGGAGGTCAAGGCGACTGGTCTGTAGTGGTCTGGTTCACTGGGATCAGATGTTTTGGGAACTGGAACCACACAAGAGGTCTTCCACAGGATGGGGACCTTCTCCAACCGAAGGCTCAGGTTGAACATGTGTGTGACCTGCTGTGACTGGCTGCAGCTTGAGCTGCGCCATCTTGATCTTATGTTGTATGTCTTGAAGTTGTATCATTCTTGTAAAATGTTTAAATGTGTATCTTCTGTGATTAAATAGTGCTATTATGGGAAAATGTCTCCCTATGTTTTTATTTCTTTATTTTAAACCATATAGCTATTAACAATCTTTTAAGAAGCCATGTAAAAAAAAATCTGTTGTTATGTCACACAATGTCCACTAGAGGGTGACACATGTCTCATATCCTGGTTGTGCACAGTCAACTCCGGTTGTAGGTAGCTACCTCCGTTAGCTTAGCTCCCACCTCCGCGTTAGCTTTGAGTTAGCTTGTAGCTCCATCGCTTCAGTTCGACGGGTGTCGTCATTTGATCCAAGCCTTACAGCCCCACCCTCAGCTCCACCTCTTTTCCCTTTTTTGGAATTGTCTAGGTTTGACGAAACCTGTGACACGGTCAAAATGGCGGTGGTGGCCACCTCCCATTTTGGCTCAAAAACTTATAAATGAAGCCTATGAAAACGAATTGTCCAGTATATATGTCGATGCTCAGATCAAAGGTGAAAAAGTAAGATACACATTATTATGTTGTACTTTTGTCCCTGCTAATATCCTCAGCTATTGTTCTCAAGTATCTCTACATTTTTTTTAAAAATGACCTTAATACCAAAATTAAGACGTTTCACCAGAGCAGCTGTGCTTCTTTTACACTTTTGAGTCCAAATGTCTGCCATAACATGAACATAGAACATTTTAAACTAGCTGAAAAGAAGCAAATTCTATGAAAAAAAAGTGAAAATTTGAAAACTTTTAATGACCGCCACTTTTTAGTAAAATGTGTCAACTTTGCTAATGGCTCTTCAAATTCTTCTACTGTTATTCAGTGTAAATAGTTTGTGTGATTTTACCTCATAAACACAAACACACGTACAAAAACACTTGTGTTTAACGTATCTTGTAGATTCGCTGTGCTTGTTTGTGTTGTATGATCGGGTGAGGACTTTAGCTGGATTTCCAATCTGTATTTATTTACATAATAAAACCAATTTCTCTAAACATTTAAATTAGAGTAGTTTATTGTCTATGCTAGTCACCATGGTAACAAAGCTTTGTGTATTACGTCATTTCCGGAAAGATTCGGGAGGCCCGGAAGAGCACCGTGTGCGTTTCTCCATGAATGAAAACTGAACCGCAAACTTAATTTATTCACTAACAATAGATACATAATTTTACAGCATTTTTACATAATTTTGCGTTAGCTCGTTTTAACGGGTAAGAATGCCCAAACTGTGGTGTATACTTAGCATAGCCTAGCTAGTTTAGATAGTGTTTACATCGCTGCTAGTTAGAGTTAGCTAACACATGCTAAAATAATCGGGAACAAATTGTGTCTTTTTTGAAAGCCTTTGAATTTAAATGATCAGAAAAACTAGAGTGAAGCCGTGTTTTACAAGAGCAGTCTTTGTTTAATGTTTCCGGTTGCAGCTCTGCCAACTGATAGACCTCCTGTTTGTGTACTTTTTTCCAGGTTCTCTTGCATGTAGTTGTTGCTGGGACTAAAGGTGTCTGCACAAAGATCTATGTTGCACCCGTGAGAGTGAAGAGCCTGTGTGTGTGTGTGTGTGTGTGTGTGTGTGAGTGAGCCATGTCGGTATCAGTGATCATAAAGTGGGGAGGACAGGAGTACTCTATCAGTTCTCTGTCTGAGGAGGACACTGTGATGGACCTGAAACAGTCCATTAAGAGTTTGACTGGGGTGTTGCCAGAGAGACAAAAACTTCTTGGACTAAAGATTAAAGGTTAGAAGAGTGTAAATATATGAAACCAGAATAAAAGAAACATTCAGATTACACCATTGATTTCTGAAATGCATTTTTTTTAAATCACGTGGAGTAAATAGTTTCCTTCTGAGTCTTTGTTTTAAACTCTGTCTTCAGGTAAACCTGCAGAGGACGAGGTGAAGCTGGGCTCTCTGAAACTAAAGCCAAACACCAAAATTATGATGATGGGTACCAGAGAAGAAAGCCTGGTGGGTGGAGAGACGATTAGGCAGGATGGTGACAAACACTAACAGCATGCTGATCGGTGAGCTGATCGGCCTGCTACGCTTATAACTGTGCATATGTTTTGTTTTGTAAAGGAAGATGTTTTAGCCCCTCCCCCAGAAAATGATGATGTCATCAATGATTTTGACATTGAGGAGGAGGTCATAGAGGTCGAGAACAGGTGAGATAATTTGGATTTATTTGGTATCGGAGCCCTCGAAGAGTCTCAGAAAGGTTGCATGTGTGTACATCAAGCTTTTCTTTTTCCTTTTAGAGAGGAGAACCTCGCAAAAATAGCCCGAAGAATAAAAGAGTATAAGGTGGAGGAAATGAACCCTCCCCGAGAAGGCAAAAGACTTCTGGTGCTGGACGTGGACTACACACTGTTTGGTGAGTTGTCGGGAAGCAATGTGAGATGCCACTGATTTGTTTCAACTCCTTATCTCTTTTCTGTAATTTTTTTACTCATAGATTCTTTGCAACGTTATCAGCATCTTCTCATCTAAGACACGCTGAATCAATCCTGTTTTTGTGTTTAGATCACAAGTCATGTGCAGAAATGGGTCAGGAGCTGATGAGACCATACCTTCATGAGTTTCTTACATCAGCATATGAGGACTACGATATCGTCATCTGGTGTAGGCATCTTCTTAAGACTCTGTCATTGCTTTAGAACAGACAATATGTATGTGTAACTTTGATCCCTGAGGCTGATAATCTGATTATTTATGTCAAAAATGGGCACAAGATTTATTTTAGGGAACACTTTGAATTAGAGGCGTTCCTCACGTTAAAAAAGAAGAATATAAAATAGGATCAGTGTATGTGTTAATATTATTTATTAAAAATATTATGTTTGTTGAAGTGAACTGCTCTGCTTTATTTTTGATTTTCATACTTTTTTTCTGTAGCTGCTACGAGTATGAAGTGGATAGAAGCCAAAATGAAAGCAAGTATCCTCCATCTTTTAACAGTTTTTAACCAACGTACTTCACATATTATATCAGTAGTCCTTTTCCGAGTCAGGAGCAAGACCAGTCATTTTTATTTTTCAATCTTCATTTTTATTTTATCTTAAAAACATTTTTAATGTTGTTTTCATTATATTGAATTTTTATCTTGAAAGCCGCTCAATAAAAAAGTGAAAATCCAAACAGTTATAATTGAAATTAATAATAACACCAGTAGGTGGAAGTGTTGATAATGTAATTTTCATTGCCTTGGTGTAATTTGAGTTGTGTGTGTGTGTGCGTGCGTGCGTGCGTGCGTGCGTGTGTGTGTGTGTGTAGGAGCTCGGTGTGACAGACAACCCAAACTACAAGATTACATTCATGTTGGATAGTGGAGCCATGATCACCGTACACACTCCAAAAAGAGGAGTGGTGGAGGTCAGTAAACACAAAATAAAACACACACCTACACACACTGTTGTTACACAAACGTAGAAGCAGAAATCACATTTAGCTGCAGAATTCTTTTATTTTGTTAAGCTTTAGTTTGTGCAATATTTTATTACCTTTATACAGTCTAGATAAATGGTTTAGGATGCTTACAGCTAAGAGGAGTTAGGACTTAACAACCAAAGTGTTTGTGCACAAACAGTGACTCCATCAGGGATGCCAACACATTTGCAGCAGTTCCTTCTTGGTGTTTTTGACAGATTTTTGAAAGTAACAATGATTTTCTGCATATCTCCAGGTGAAGCCTCTAGGGGTGATATGGGGGAAGTATGGAGAGTTCTACAACAGGAAGAACACCATCATGTTTGATGACATCGGACGAAACTTCCTCATGAATCCACAGAATGGACTAAAGGTAGGCCCCGCCCATCTCCTTTTTTCATCTTTATTGAGCCGAGACTTACCTGTAAACCCGTGTTAGATCCGACCGTTCATGAAGGCCCACCTCACCAGAGAGAAGGACAGGGAGCTCTATAAACTGGCTCAGTACTTAAGAGAAATCGCCAAGCTGGAGGACTTCAGTGGACTCAACCACAAACACTGGGAGAGGTAGGAGAACATGTGGAACCCAAAACAAACAAACATCCCAAATATTTATATGGTCTTGTAGAAAGTTTTCATAAAACGATCTGATCATTTGTGCAGGTACCTATCTAAGAGGCAGCCTCACTGATTTAACTCCAAACACCTGGACTGGACGCCTCCGTCCCCCGTTCTGGGTCTCGGACTGAAGTCAAACACCTTTCATTCACCTCGGAACTGACAAAGATTTTGTAATTATCCATATGCATGTGTTCAACCTAACCGTTTTTCTCCCAAATGTTTTTTATTTTTTTAAATTTTTTACAACATCAGTGGTAATTACGACTCTTAAGTGTGTTGGGTAAATAAAAATAATTTACTCCGACAACACTAACTTGAACCAGCTCATGAAGACCTGCGGCTTTGTCTGATAACATAACCGTAAAGCTAAATTTATTCAAAAGTAAACACACTCTGGTGCAACTGCAAATTCTCTTTCCGTAACAAGATAGATGGAATAAACGATTCAGGTTCAGGTCAGTGAGTGATGCATTCCTCCTCCGTGGAACACTGAAAGCATCAAATTACATCAAAAATATCAAAAGTGTTTTCAGCGACTCAGCAGTCGTTTATCATGTAACAGTTACTCATTTATGCCGCATATCTGGGAAGGCCCTTATGTTCAAGTTGTTATGGAGATCTGTATTAAAAAGTTTGAAATCAAAGGTGTTTACATTTCAGCGGCATGCAGTGATGATTCTGTGGGATAAAACAACATCAAACCCTTTCATCAAAGCTTTGTTTTGCACGTTTTTGATGGAGAAAGTTGTGTTAACGTTGGTAATCATCGCAGACGTGGTTGCACACAGACCTGCAGGGTGGTAAACATTTATTTACTAAACGTGCAGCGGTGATCAGGTTTCCATGAGTACATTTGTACACGATGCTGCTGCAGCACATTTAAATATAGTTTTCTCCCTTTTCATTTTTGTTGTTTCTGATTTGAAGTAAAACTGTTATAGGTAGATTGTTTGTGAGAAAAGAACAAAGAAAAGAAAAATACCTATTTTTAGCATTTGAAATAGTTGTATTAATATCTTGAGTTTAAATGATGATGGAAACATTTCTGACAAGTTTCAGAATGCTTGAAATTGAAGTCCTTATTTTTTTTATTCTATTTAATGATGCTCCTGATAATGTGGCTGCTAATATCAAAATAAACCTTCTGTTCCCATTTTTTTAAAACCTAACTTGTCTCTGCTCTTCGTTAATGCTAAAGTAATTTAAACATTTCTTAAAGTGACAGTGTGTATTTTTCTGGGTGTAGGGGGCGGGGCAGTATACCTACATCATTGCAAGCAAGCTGAATTTTAGTGCTCGTAAGACCTTATCAACGGATGGCCATTAGGGTCAAAAATCCATGGGAGCACAACCTCCAGCAAAATGACGAGCGCATCAGAATCCCTTTCATCACTGGCAGCGGGCGAAGACATAAATGCGTGAAACAACATTTATGAATGGTGAAAGTTGTGTAAGTGCTACAATTCAGTAAATGCATTTTGTCCTTACGGGCTCCCGTAGAAGGAAACACAATCCCAACCAGGGGTGCGAGTGCGTAGGGTGTCCCGATTCTCAAGTGCGGAAGTTGATCACGCCCCTTTTGCACCCTTGATCCACACTTTGCCCAAGTCTACATCGATGCAGACTTGGGTGAAGGGTATTACCCACAATCCATTGCTGTGGGAGTGCCTTTTCTGAAAACGTATTTTCTGATGAAAGTTGTGCATTTTAGGACAATTAGTTGATGCACTGAATGTTTTAGACATGTAAATTAATTTCAAATAATTGTTTGGTTGTTTGAAAGTTGTTAATAAAGTTTTTTTTTAAAAAAGGTATAGCGACCAACATCCAAGCATGCATTGCTGTCACCGATGAATGCTCCCCGTCCCAATTATTTGCACTCTTGCGTACCACGCACTGGAAGCCTTACTGTGCACTTTCTCCAAGTGCACTTTGCTGAAGGGTGCAGTGTGAGTATTGAGATTGGGCCTTAGACCCACTCCCATGTACTTCAGACCTGATTTTTATGGTCATATGTTACAAAGCTGCCAATATGTTTTAACAACTGGGCATCATTTAATTCATCTTCAAGATTTCAACAGATATATTCAGAGATTAATGGTAAAAACGACTCATTGTCTCTTTCAAAGTTTCATATAATAAATCAAAAGCAGCCTCAGAATGTGCTTCAGATGATCACAAAGTCACAGAAACATCAAGAAATTAAGATGCTTGTATAATTTTTTATTATCAAATATTATAAATTATTAAAAAAATAGAAATAAGTTATAGATAAAGGTAGAAAATGATGAATCAATTTAGGGAAAGATGAATAAATACTGTACATTTATGCTTCTGCCTTGTATAAAAAAATATGTAACAAGAAATCAGATTAAGGGAAAGACCGTTTTCCATCAACCTTTTCTTCCTTCTCTCCTGGCAGCCGAACAGAAGCATGAGTTAGCAGACCACATCGCTTTTGTTCACTCTAAAAAGGAAAAAAAAACAGGATGAAATCAAATAAATCATATTTAACTGTTTAGTAACACCTTCAGTCGTTTCCAACTCACGTGCACTGACTCCAGTTGCTCCACGGTCCCAAGGTGTGTTTGTCTTGTGCACGCACACAGAAAACATACCTCCTGGACGTGACGTTCACTTCATACTTTCTGACCTCGGTAATGTTAGTCTGTGCAAAAATAAACTAATAAATAAATAAAGACAAAGGGATGAACAGGAAGTCAGCGTCTGAATTGCATTTTTCTCACCAGAATGGGCTTGTCGCTGCTACAGGAATGACCAATGCGGGCCACTTTAATCTGGAAGTGGAGCCCAAAGTAGGAACCGGGCTTGTCCCAGGAGTCGGGGGCGTCCCAGCTGAACACTTGGCCACTGCTGACTCGCAGGTTAGGGAGTTTTTCTGGCTTCACTGAGGAACAGAGGAAAAGGGTGAAACTTAACAATAAGCATGGATACAGAGGATCAATGATGTGCAGAAGTCTAGTTGGTTATATGTGCATCAACAGTTCAAGAATATACAAGAAAAGCTCCACTTTTACAATGAAAAGTACATAAAACCACTTACCGATCTCTCTCAGGTAGAAAGACCGGGTGTAGGCCTCTAGGCGGGAGTAGCTGTGGATGTAAACGGTCAGAGTGATGCGGTGCCTTTCCTCTTTGTAAGGGCAGCTAGCGTCCTGGCAAATAACCCCAGATCCATCCGCCTCCAGCTCACAGGGGATCTTGTCCATGTAACTGGAACCAAACAGGTTGGTGAAATAACATCCTGATCAGGACACGACCCGTGAGACATTATAGGAGTAGAAAACATTGGAGTGCCTTTACCGGTTTGTCTTGACCAGGAGCACAGCTGCGTGGGACCGGTGCTGCGTCCTGGTCCAGCTGCAGTGGAACGAACCGTTGTAGTTTGGGGCCAAGCAGTGGATGTGACCTGCAGGAATAAAAACAGTCAGTTCACACATCCGCACTTCAAAATTTTCATCGCGAACAACAGGGATGTACGAACATATTGGCACACTGAAATATTGCAAATTACATGTTATGATATTGTAACAATATTTCTAAGCAGAGTATCAATTTTCATTGAGAATTTACATACAAACAGTGCAATTCAAACTCTCACTGCTAGGGGGCAGCAGATTTGACCTTCATCTTTCTGACGGGACAACCAGCTCTTCTAATACTGGATTTGTCCTGGAATAGTCTGGCTTGAGTCTTCTGATAAAATAAAAAAATGCAAATATCATCTGGATTTTAGTATCACAATTTATCGTAGTATTGTGATGAATATCGTATTTCCAGATTCTTCCCAATACACTCCCCTAACTAACAATTACTGGGTAGTCAAAAACAAATGCGTCTAAAAGTACTTTAACTGACTAACCTTATGGTATTATTTTGCCCTAAATAGGCCAAAATTAATCATGTTGAACCAGATTTTTTCTGATGATAAAGAATATTTTTTACACTTGAGCTTCAAGGAAAAAATCAATTTTTAAATCTGCAATCTAGAATATTTATCACAAGGCCAGCTCATAGTTTACATGAGTATTTTCTTGTCGTAACGTAAGTAAAGCTTATTTTTAAAGCACCAATCACAGAAAGAAAAAGCACAACGATCTTCACAAAGAAAATTTACATAAAAATGAAAACAAGACTAAAAAAGATCATAAAACAACAAAAGATTTAAGCAAAAGCGATTTTAAATTGGGGTTTAGCTCCTTTATAGATTGTGATAAAATGTAAAAATAAAGGAAGTTCATTCCAAAGTGGAGGTGCAACAGACTTGTTTTTGTTTAATATTTATCTCTTTTTGTTTGCAGTTTTTTCTGCAACAAAAGCTTATTGTATGGTTCGATAAACACCCCATTCAAACGCCCCTCCATCCTTCTTATCTCACCTCCTTCAGGAGAGATTTCCTCCAGTATGACGGTCCTGTTATCTGGCTGGACCAGGATCACAGTGTGGTTCAGGTATTCTCCGTCTGGACTAAGATGACAAGTGTAGTTCCCTCCGTTCATCTCTCTCACCAGAACCGTGACCCGGTTGCCCTGCAGCGCCGGCGTCAGCTCCACACCTGAGACAGATTCAAGTTAAACACTCAAGTGTCCATAAACGTTAAAAAAGGAGCAAATTTACTGTGTTGTGCCTGATCTGTAATACAGGCTACACGTTTTATAGTACCTTTTATTATATTTACCATTAAATGTTTAATTACCGGCAAAGGTGTGTGTGTGTGTGTGTGTGCACAGGAAAACCTGATAGTTTTATTACCGTTTCTTTTCCAAAACACAGGCTTGTCTTGATACGCTTCTCCACAGCTGAGAGACACTTTGATCCTCGAACCGTGAACGTGAGACACCCTCAGAACCAGAACTAGGAAAACCAGAGCAGAAGAAGTCCAAATTGGCTTCACAGAAGGTAAAAAAAAAAGTAACAGAAATATTAAAGGATTGTGAATAAAGAAAAACATAAGAACCATTGTCCATCAGTGTCTCCTGGTTATGATCTTGGCTATCAGAGGTGGCAAAGCTCAGACCAGCACACAGAACCATCAGGACTAGAGAATGCATCTGAAGGAAATGACAAAAAGTTATGCGGGTTACATACAAATATTATTTGTTAGGTAATTTTAAAATGTCAAAACTCAACAGATTAAGCTGCTGAACAGGAATTCATCACAATAATAGTGTGTCACATCAAAGTTGCAAAAAAACCTGCTTGAAAATGTTATATCGTTGAGAGAAAATGAATAAAAAAACATATCTTTACTCTTCTGTGTCATCATTGGTGGTTTTTGCTCTTTTTAATATGTACATAAATCAAATCTGAGTGAAACAGACTTATAACAAAATAACACGCATAACAAGAGCAGAAAGTACATGAATTCAGATTTTTTAAATTACCTTGATGCCCAAATTTGGTCCAAAATGTTCAGATTTTAAAAGTAGAGCAGGATGAGGCTTTGTTGAGTGAGTGCTGTTTGACTGATCTCAGCAGGCAGCTGGAGTATTTATCAATGAAGAAGCAGAAGACTGGAAAGCCCGACCCCCTCCCTTCTCTTTTTCTCAGTGTGTGTGTGTGTGTGTGTGTGTGTGTGTCTTTTGTTGATAAAGTGTAAACAATGATAACAAATTCAAATGAACAATTTTTCAGAATTAAATCATCATATTTATAAAAATCAACAATTTTTTCCCTCAGAAATTTGCTTAAATGAAAAAAAAACTAACAAAAGTTTCAAACAAAAGACCGGTCACAGTTCCTCTGAACGTTAAATCAGGTGAACGCTTGTTCGGCCACGCTGACCACTGAGGAGGAAGTGAGCTAAGAAACCAGGTGTCTTGTCATGATCATGAGGATTCTTCAGAACAAAAACATGAGCAAGTCAGTTCCTGATAAAACCAAAATGAACAAAGTTTGTTTTTCGGGGTCCAGTCACACAGAAGACTGCTGAATGAACTCAATAAAACACTCATCAGAACAATCTATGAAGGAGTTTCTGGTATTTATCTTATCTTCTCCACTATAACCACCAACATTTAGCTGTGGAGCTGCCCTTCTGTGTAATGAGAACGTTTACTATAAATACACGTCTAACCAAGCTGCTCAGTCTTTTTTCTGCTTCTGTCCAGCTTATGAAAAAGATATCAGTCGACTATCGCCCAAGGAGAGCACGCTCTGTGGTTTCGAATGAAATCAGCCCTGGATGACTTTTCACTTTCCCTTAAAATGTTGAGCTGAAAGGAAATGTCTAATTGTTTCTTCCCTTTAAATTTAATGTGAAACTAGAAGCTTTGCAGACGCACCCTCTACCTTATCACTGAAGTCAAATGACTTTTTTAAGTACTCCCTCTGACATTGTTATAGGATTCCTTATCAGAATTACACATGCAATAATAGACTTTCCACCACATCCACTTTTGCCTTTAACTTGAGCTTGGTATAACTTTTAGCATACAAATATAAGCTGTTCATTAACTTTTGGACTTCCTCTGAATTTGAGGAGAGCTGGGAGAGCCAGAAAGACAACTTTTCGCAAACACAAAGGCACACAAACACTTATTGTTGTAGTTGAAATTATGACTCTGTGGTTTTTCCCAAAAACTTTCCATGATCTGTTGTTCTGGAGTGTAAATGTAAAAGAAGGAAACAGAAAAGAAAAGATGAACTTGTGGGCAAAGACCGCCACTAACAAGGAATTTTAATTCTGATGAGAATTAAAGAGAGATCATATCTCTCCTGTCTTAACTTCCCTACATTGGCTGCCTGTTAAATTCAGAATAGATTTTAAGATCCTTCTTCTCACATATAAAGCTCTTAATAATCAAGCTCCATCATACATCAGTGACCTGATTCTTCCATATGTTCCTAACCGAGCACTTCACTCTCAGACTGCTGGTTTACCAGTGGTTATTAGAATATCTAAGTAGATCTTTTAGCTATCAGGCTCCTCTCCTGTGGAACCAGCTCCCAGCTTTAGTCCGTGAGGCAGACACCTTGTCTACTTTTAAGACTAGGCTTAAAACATTTTTAATTGATAGGGCCTATGGTTAAAATCTGATGTTAGCCTAGATCTGGACAAGTGGGGGAGTAGAGGGAGGTGGAGTGTACAGTCGGTAAAGATGGCTCTCCCTTGCCCTGCCTCCATCTAAAAGGCTAGGTTATCCAGATTTATCTCTGTAGTTATGCTGCTATAGGCTTAGACTGCTGGCAGACATACTGACTACTTTCTTCTATCACTTCTCTTTAACTGTATTATTTTCTGCTATTTCAGCTGTTAACTTTATTTTTCTCTAAGTGTTTTTCTCCCCAGAAGAAGCTACAATGGTGTTCTCCTGAGCTGTGGTTGCCTCATGGAGGGGGCCATCGGTTTAAACACTGTTGCTAACCACTTAAACATTCTCCCTCTCCTGATAATGACATTTTACTTTCTTTGACATTGAATGTGCTACTAATAGTTTACCTGTTTAATTATAGAATAGAATAAATAAAAATATTTACTAATAAATCACAACGTAGCCATAGAAACACTACTTGGTATATATGTTGTGTGTGTGTGTGCTGTCTTCTCCATCCCCAGTGAGCCATGGTGGATGGCTGCTTATACTGAGCCAGGATCCTCTGGAGGTTTCTTCCTGTTCAAAGGGAGTTTTCCTCTCCACTGTCGCTAAATGCTTGCTTAGTATGGGGATTGCTGTAAAGATACCGACTCTAGTCAGTGACTCGATGCAATTTGCTACGTTCCTTATATAGGACACTTTTTTCTGATTGGCTTAATGAACTGACCTGTATTGGAATGTTTACTATGTGAAGTACCTTGAGACGACTCTTGTCGTGATTTGGCGCTATATAAATAAACTGAATTGAAATTAATTTAAGTCCAAGTTGGTTCTATGGTCATACAAAACTTGTTCATGAAGATTTTTTGCACTGAATCCCTCTCACATGAAACAATGTCAGCATTTTATTGACATTTTCAGTACTTTCCAGAATGAGTTGTTTCAGGGTTTTGCTACTTTAAGAAAACAAGCTAGAGCTAGCCACACCCACCCATCACACACTCAGGCTGTTATAGGCTAAGCTTTGCATGAGGTGGTTCTATGCCAATTTCCCTGTTTGTGAAATCACAAATGGGGACTTCTTGAAATAGCTTGTTTTAGGCACATAATTCCTAAAACCAAACACTCACATAAAACAGATGGAGGGGTTTATTTGATGTTTGGAGTGTTTATAGAGGCAGTAGAGCCACTTGGCAGCACAAAACAATACAAAAGGGGAGTTCAGCATAATATGCTTCCTTTAAAACAGTGGGAGGAAATAAGTGCCTCAAGAAAACCTGAACATGTACAAGATGGAACAGATAGAATCCACTTGGGATTCAAACCTGAGACCTTCATGGCAAAAGAGCTAACCACTACAAAACCACACAAAATTTTTTAGACTGAATTTGTAAAAACTTGGTGGAGATGCAAGGGCAAAAAAAAAAAAAAAAAAAAAAAAAAAACATGTGTGCATGGAAGGAAATGGATTTTGCAACGGAAAACAAAGATGGGAGGGAAGTTAAAGGTGATGTCAGTGGCACATAAGGTCACCATGGTCACCACTTTCCTGTGTTCATCTATTTTGCAAATTTTATCACTTTAAAAAGAGAGCAATTGACAGGTGAATTTTTATGATCCTACAGTGTTTTTGTTTGAGATATAAACAGTTAAAAAGTCCCTTCACTTAAAGTGTTAAAAAGAATATTACAAACAAAACTAACTGACGTCCATGGATGCTCCACTGGGGTCTCTGAGGTAAAAAAAAAAAAGTCTGTTTAGTGAAAGATGTGGGCGAATGATGAGCTAGTTAGAGAATAATGGAAAATTTTGGAGCAGAAACTGGAATGTGACATTGGACAACACATCAGCTGAGCATTTTGTAGAAAAATCTGATTGTGTAAAAATGTCAGTTCATGCATTAAAAACAAAAAAAGTTAAAAATAATACTACTAGACAGGGATCAAGGAATATCAGCAACATTTTTTTATTTTTAAAAAATTCTATTTTTAACCAAAATATGCAGCTGTGTCTGATGTCCTTCATTTTCCCTCATAGGTGTGTGCGTGTCCACACAAACACATTTACTCACAAAGGATAATTACTTGCTGTTTATCAAATGATTAGTTTGATTGTTCAGAGAAACAAAATAAAATATTAAATCCATCAACAGCTTGGTAAAACACTTGCGCCCTGATTCAGAGTTGTTGACAGGAGACAAATCTTTATACCATCAAACAAAAACAAAACCTTCACAGCTTTCATCTTTCTCTGGCTGAAATATTTCATTTAACTCGTTTGTAGTTACTATAACCCTTTAATAACTTTTATTATTGTAGAAATGTTTTCCTTAACTGGCTGAAGTAAATACGTGTGTAAAGTAGATGTATTTATAACCCTGTAGCCTTAAAAGAGTTCATCATGCCGACACTCTGAAAGCAGAACTTGAAACTGAAACACAGAAAGATTCAGAGCTCAGTGTTGCCAAGTAAAAAGGTTCAAACCACCGGACAAATTTCTCTTTTGTAGTTTGGTTTCCATAGGAACAGTTAAAAAGACTTTCAAAAAGGTCAAAATGTTTCTGTGTAAAACCAAAAAGAAAGAGTCTTTTCTCTTTGGAAGAGTCTTAAATCGTCAGCAGATGCTAACTTCTTTCCCGCTGTAGCCCTTTGCAGCAAAAACAACGGAAGAGCACAGAAGAGGAGAGGAATCAGCTTAAATTCTGTTTCATGCCTTTTACTCATCTGTCTTCACACTCCAAGGACTGCAAATGGGCCCAAGTCCGGGCTGCCAGCTACAGGGATTTAATTCTCCACTGGCATGGGCTCCTGAGGGAGAGAAGACACTTCCTCCACTGCTGCAGGCCCACAGGCCTCTGGTGTGTGTCCCACTGGAGTTCCAGGCTCTGGTGGCGGACGCTGGCTAAGGATCACCTGAACTACATAGTCCCTGGAAATGTTGAGTTGGTCCAAGCGCAGCCTGTCAGTCAGAGGCCGACCTGAGAAAAACCAGCGCTGGCTTGCAGAGGGCACGTCCTCCTGACTTTGCAGACGACGCTTCATCATGCCCACCGTGTCTGTGGATCGGACCGCCAGCCGAAGGTCGCGACCTGTCGATAGTCGTAGTCGGAGCTGGCACTCGCCCCCGGGGACAGGGTCCCTGGTGCTGCCCGAGGACGGGTCTGCTGTCACAGAGTCTGGGTCTGAACCGTCAGGCTCATCGGAGCGCTCCTCAATCATGTTGACGGGAGGAGAGAGGCAGTAAACTGGCAGCTGGTAACGATTGCCCAGTTCGTCATAACACTCAGTCAGAGCTCCTAGGGGAAAGAGTGGGAAAAAAGGGTAAATACGTTTTGTTCTGACAAGATACAGTAAGAGATTTAACACATTTCCAACTGGAATCAGAGTAAAAACACTTGGAATACCACAGAACTAATTATTTGCAACACCTTTGCATATGTTAAACATTTTTAAATCAAAATTTTGTCACATGTCCAAATTTATTTGCTAATCATCCTTGTTTCCTTTGCAGTGTTGTCCCACTCAGAATGTCAGATCCTAAAGTCACAACTGTTTCATAGTTTGCCAACCCTTCCCAAAGTTGTCCAACACCTGGTGGACACTGTCGGACAACTTACTAAACATGAAACCCCATACAACAAAAATCATGATTAAATACATAAATAACTGAACCAGGGCAGCATTCTGCTACCTCCCAATCCTTACCTATGATCATGAGCTGTGGGTAATGACCGAAAGAACAAGATCACGATTCAAGCAGCTGAAATGAGTTTCCTCCATCGGGTTGCCAGGCTCAGCCTTAGAGATAGGGTGAGGAGCTCAAACATTTAAGAAACTTTGAGTAGGGCCACTGTCCTCCATGTAAAGATAGCCAGGTTTGAGCATTTGGTGAGAAAGACCCCCTGGATTCTTCCCAGGAGAGGTGTTTCATACATGTCCTGCCAGCAGAACCCAGGTCAACTTAGAGGAATTATATATTTATGATTGCTAGGGAACACCAGGGGGTACTGCAGATGGAGGTCCTACCCTCACAACCCAGACTCGGATATGCGTGTGAAAAATGGGACTACTGGATGACTGGATCAGTTTTGTTCCTACTGTGTGTGGTGTTCCACAAAACAGCAAAAACTATGCACTACACATGAATATTCCCCAGTCAGTCAGGAACTGTCACGAGATCAAACGTGACTTCAGAGTAAACAAACAAGGCAGAGGAGGAGCGTGCAGTGCACTTTCGTCACCCTGCTTTCGGATTGGCAACATGTCAGATTCAACAGGCAGCACACTCATGTGCCTTCGACAAACAGACCAAGACGATCTATTGCATTTGAAAGCCAAGAATTATGATCCGAGGGGTCCCAATGTGCTTCAGGGACGACCAGAGTGCTCTTAACACACCACACACACGTTAGGAATGTCTGCTAAGAATATCTTAAGAGCCATTATGGTGATCGGGTGTGTCCTCAAGGTTGTCGGGCTTTTCGAGATTGAAGCAGGCTTTGACTATTGAGAAAGTTTTCAGATGGCTTCAAGAACCTTGCATCAACTCTGTGATTATTTTGAACGTACTACCCCTTCATTCAGCTGTAGAAAGTTCCCAGCCATCCAGGTTTTGATAGATTCTACGCAGATGTGTAACAGCTGCAGGTTAGACATCTCATGAGGCTTAAAGGAGATGTACAGTTGGATGTCATCTGCATAAAGATGGTAGGAGATTCCTTTAAAGGAGCTCAATATGTGATGAAGAGGAAGCAGACAGAGGAGGAAGAATAGAGGTCCCAGCACAGAACCTTCTGGGACACCATGGGTGAGGGAGGTGGTGGAGGACTGAAATTTGGAGACGGCCACAGAGAAGGAACACTTGGACAGATAAGAGAACCACACCAGAGCAGTTCCTGATGAGCCTACCCAGTCTCTCAACCTCTCCAGTAGCAGGTGATGGTCAACAGTGTCAAAGGCTGCCAAAGGTCCAGCAGGACCAGAACAAAACAGTCCTCTGCATCACTGAGTCAGAAGGTCATTCAAGACCCTAAAGAGCCGTTTCAGTTATAAACAACCACCTGCAGCCAGTTAAAATTTACAGTAACCCAAAAACTCAACACATCAGTAGGAAGGCTTGTTTTATAACCCTCAAGTAAATGATTCACTGGGAGATTCCAGAGCAAAGCAGCAAACGACTATACCAAACAACCGAGTAGCGTCTACATTTTTTATGATTTGTTAATTGATTTTAGCATGAAAAGAAAATGCAAACTTTGAGAGAAGCTTTGCTTCATATGAGCTTGACTTTTTGTGGTACATATTCGTTGTAGTTAAATTCATGTTTTTATTAAATTCACAATTTTGCAATTCAGTTGTGAATATCAAACATTGACATCCCTTTTCCACTGAACAAGGCTTGCAATTCCCCGTACTTCATAATAAGACAAAATGAGAAATGAGAAGTGAATCCAATAAAAACCAACACAGTGTGAAAGTGTCACGGGGGGATGCAAAAGGAAAGGCCATCAGTTGGAGCATCATACATGTACAACCATTGTTTAAGTAGTGACTGAGTGTGATTCAAACACTGCAAAGGAAAAGGGGAATAAGATGTAGTGAAGAGGTCGTTTAATTTAAATGGGAGAGCACAGACATTCGACCAGTAGGGGGATTTCTACAAGGTCCACCAAACGATAACACTTTAAAGCTTCAAGAGCCAATTAAAGTAACAGTCACGTCTCCAAACATTGTCCATGTTATGGTGCAGCTAATCAGATGCTGCAAAACTTTAAATGTATTTATAAAAAAACTTTCTCCACAAGTGCAAAGAAGCCTACCACTCTGTGGCTTTTTGCACATATTTCAAAAAGTTGCTGCATTGTTCAGGGTGTTGCACACACCACACGAGACAGAAGGTGAGTTTTGTGGTCGAAGTGAAAAGCCCACAGGATGTTGTAATGTGATGCCTTGATGGGAGCTGCTGTAAAGGAAAGAAGGGGACATTAGAGTAAAAGCAGGTTTCGGGAAATATTCTGGGTAGAAAAACGGGAAATTTCTTGACAAAATAAAAATGCACATGGCTTGATTTGATCCCACAGAAACACACTCTACAAAGTTCAATAAGATCAATATCTATAGAACTACATTGTAGTTATTTGACATTTGTCAGTTTTGATAATCTTTGGCAGAGTCCAGAAATGATAAAGTTGTAGATAAAAAGATTATTTTCTGAGAGTTTAAATACAATTCGTCAACAATCATTAACGTAGATCTGTTATGTTGTAATTCGATACTTTCCTAAGTAAAACAAAAGGGTATCTTATATAGACCCATAGAAAGGTATTGTTTTCATCAGGGTAACTGTGCACATCCACACAAGCTTGAGGGCAACTACCCCGTCTCCAGCCATTATCCAGACGTGTATCTCCGCAGTTTAATATATTCCCAGCCTTAGGAATACCTAATTTTCAAACATAACTAAACTTTTCCAAACATCCATCAAACAAGACCTCAAGACCTCACATAAAACAGAACAGACAAGGCAAACTAAAATATGTTAAATGTTAAACGTTCTCAGCGTAAAGACCTTGGTCTTGTTTAACAAAACGTGTTGACATATAAAACATGTTTTTCAATTAAAGTTCTACATTGATCAAAACTGGCTAGTTGGACTATTGCTTCATGTTGATCTGAGCGGCTGAGTAGTAGTTGTTGGAGATACACACACACTAACTTAAATATAAGTTGATTTAACAAACATACATTTTTAGCAGGAAATACCTATTGTCTTACTACTTTAACATGTTTATAACATCTTGTTTATCTACTATTTGTTTCCAGGCTTGAGTCACTTCTTCCATTAATTTGTGATTAAAGCACAAAAAGGGGAGAGACTTTTGGTTTGTTTACTGGTCTTCCTGGACCTGGTCCCTGGTTGAGTGAAACAGTGATGTCAGGTTTGGGGAATTCACAGCTGCAGCTCAGCAGGAGCTGATCAGACTAGTCAAACTACCCAAAGGAATGAAGCAGGACCAAAACGCCGTGTTTACAAAAGGCTCATCAGTGGCATCGGATATACTCCTAAATGTTTAATCAGCCCATGATAGATTTATGGGTTTCTGCAGGGGTTTATGAAGAAAATAGTTTGATACTGATAAAAATCAGTGATTTTACCAATACAATAGTCCTGTTGGTGTAGAGGGATTATAAAGGATTACGTGGATTTTTGATGAGCAAGCATTTTAGTTTCTGCTGTCCCTTACACTCCTACCTATTAGTAGAGAAACCACAAATGTGAAACCACAAACTGAAATTGTTACATCATAGTCTCCTTCCCACCCTGAATACTGTTCCACATCACCTTATTCTAATAATAAAACAACAATAAAGAAAACTTAAATGAAACAGCCCTGATTTCTCCCCCTCCTCTACAATTCAAAACGCACACATAATGACAGTCACTTTCAATCAGGCACTATGTGTGCTAAATGAAAAACAATGGAAAAACTCTTCCAGGAATAACTTGTGTTCTTTTAACTATTCAAAGAGAGATCACTTTAAACATTTTATATTATGGATCTATTTTTTAAAATGTATCCTTCTTAGTGGTTTCATTTAACGTTTCATTTAACAAGCTTATTCCAGCTTCTCCATCCTATTGGTAGAAAACGAAATTACTGTCGCAGCCTGCTGTAGCTAGTGCTAACAAGGAGCCAACACTAACATGAGCTAAGTCTTATCAAATAAACCACAAGGTAAAAAGATCCACACAGTGCTACAAAAATTATTACTCACAAGTCCAGTAGCAACAAAGCCAGGTCACCATCAGCCCGGGATTTCATAGCTCCCTGAAATGAGTGTAGGCTGTACTGATTTTCACTTTGGTTTTAGCTCTTTGCTTCGCCTCCAAGCCCCCATAATACTGGTATGAAAATGAAGCCAACACGGAAGTGACAAAAATTGCAGTTCCACCCTCATCCGCTGGGGGCTGGTGTCAGAAGCGAGCAAATCCTCATTGACTCCCATGATAAAAATACCAATTTCACAACAGAAATAAACATGTTTACAGCCTGGTTCCAAAGCATTTTTTAGGTTTAATAGATCTAGTTTACACTCATGACAACTCTGAGGAGGGTGAATTTTTTGTCACTCTTCTAGGGCTGAAACGATTCCTTGAGTATCTCGAATAATTCGAGTACAAAAAATCCTCGAGTCAAATTCTCTGCCTTGAAGCTTCGTTTAATTCATGTTTAATTAATTCATGGCTTTGCAATTGCCCGTGGTCGTGTTTCACCCGGACCGAAATAAGTGACGC